TTGTTATAAGCGGATAGATTAAAAAATGCTTTCATTAAAGTTTTCATACAGCTAGTTTTGTGAACCGACTTCATTACGAAACCCGAGGCCATTGTCTCTACGGGAGAAGAGCGGGAGATTCTTTGTTGTACGCAGATACGAACTCAGTGTTTTATATTGAGACCCGAAGCGCTAATCTCCATGCTGACGAATATTACTGTCGTTAGTAAAGTAAAGTAATATGTTTCAGCTGATTTTGTAATTATAGTTATTGAAGAATAACCAATCTTAATTTGTATAGCTTTCGAAGTTGACTATAAATGCACAATACATAGCCCACTGTAACTATTTTGTAGCGGACGGTTTCTTGTTTAGGTATATTTTGGGTTAGTGAGGAGGACTCCACGGTGTTTTCCGAGCGCTATGACATGTCCTTCTTCAAACGAGGCTTGCGGAGAGTACTTTATGGTAGGCAGCGGCTTGGCTCTGCCCCTGGCATTGCTGACGTCCATGAGCGACGGTGACCACTTACCATCAGGTGGGCCGTATGCTCGTCTGCCTACAAAGGCAATAAAAAAAAATAAAAAAAAAATCCAATAAAAAACATTAGGATGCACATCTCGTAGCTGACTGCTTATTATTGATAACCTTAGAAATAAAATTAAAAATTATAAAAATATACATGACAATTGTTGCTTTGCAACTAAACTTTTTACTGGCGTTCCAAACATGCCCCCGGATGTTGAAAGGTTTCCTTTCAACCCAAAACTAATCCGCAATCAGGGGACAAATCTTACTAAGCGACCTCATGATGACTTCGCTTGAGGTACAAATGTCTGCGACCCGGTTGACTCCATCGGACCCTGGATAGACAGCTAATATGCCTCCTTAGAATTAGCATGTCATTGATTTACAGCAGAATGAAAATCGGAAACCTTGTGGAACGCCAGCATTAATAGTCATGGTATCAGAACCCTCTACAACGCCAGTGGTGCTCCGCCCATACAAAAAGCTAACGATCCACATGCAGAGTCCCTCGGGGATTCCGTGGTAGTTCCGACAGTGTGGCCTGTTGTTTTCTGAATACCTCCCCGTAGTCCGTAGGGAAAAGCCCATTTTTACCGGTACTTAGTGACGCGAAAATATACACTCCAATAAATTCTAAAGGAAACTTTGAAATAAACAAATAATGCCGGTTGCCGCCTCCGCACTTAATTTTGTTTTTGCGCACCATTGTTTGACAAAACACCAGAGGGGGTCACATTTTTTCAGCTGAAAATGATCAGCGCGAATGGAATTTCAACGCACTTCCTTCTAAGACTTACTTAGTAAAATCAGGGGATATACTTGTTTTCTTTGATGTCCTAATGACTATCGTTAATATTTATTTCAAATGCCAAATGAGGTAGCCTAGTTTTAGACAGCGCGTTTTTTTTTTGAACATATCTGCTGATATGAAATTTTGTGAATGACTTGAAACTAACTTAATGGGCTTCAATTCATCTTCTTAGTATCTGTTACTTAAAAATTAGGCCATAATTGCTCATAATTGGATCGGAATACAAGAAAAATAAGTGAAAAAATGTGAGTCGTCATGGGACGCCTGGCAGATGTGAAACATCGAAATTATTTTGTAAAAGTAATATGCAGAAAAGAACAGATTGTGATAGGAATTAAATATGTCATAATGATAAAATAAAATATTACGAAAAAATAATTTGTTTTCAAGTAAAACACAGGTTATGTGTACTGTAGTAAACAACACTGTATACACTACGGAGTATACACTATAGGTATCCGAGCTCAGTGTAGCGAGAGAGATGGCTTAACGCTGGATCGAGTGGGAGAGAATCGCACAGTCGATTGCGCATGGCGACGCGTCGCCACGGCATGCGTCGCCACGCCAGAAATCGGTTTTACGTGCCGCTATAGACGTTTCACATCAAAAGAAAGAGGAAGAAGAATTTCAGTTTTTATTCTAATAGTTAATTCTAATTGTAATAATTTATTTATTAAGTTGTATTCTTATAAACACTGTAAATTCTCAAACAATCAATAAATTAATCAATCAATCATATAAATTAATTAGTAACTCAATTACATCTATCATTAAGTTCTATTCTATTTGATAAGCTTATCTCTATTTTTACTAACTTAGCTTTAATAGGAGATTCTTCTATGCTTTGAATATATATAAAAAACAGGCATACGAACACTTTTAGATAGTGCGTACTTTCTAGCAGTTAGCATGTGTTTTCGCGAAATTTATTAAGACCATTAATCCATCGCTTCGAGCGAGTTCCGAGTTTATAATATGTATAATTTATGATACAATCAATTTGATTAAAATTTATTGCGTACGGATTTTGACTAAAAGATAATTTTAATGGTACACCATCAAAACATTCCACGCGGAAGTGTTGTTGCCTCGAAATACATCCGCAGATAGATCATCTCACCTATCTCAGACCTATTTCATTAGAAGTCACATGATACCATCCCGAGGGATCGCATCACAAAAGATTCGCGACGACCGGCAAAATTATAAATGACCGAAAGTCTGTCACTGATTAGCTGGAGAACAGAAGGGCCTCTTTCTTTTGTCAGTACCAAAAAAATGATTTTGTTTTAAAAAATGAGAAACATTAAGTCGGTTACGAAAAAACCCGCGTTTGTAGCAAGACATTTATGGCTTAAGCAATGAAAGTACTTTTCAGAAATAAATAAATTAAAGTCTTATCTTGAATTTCGCCAGTAGACGTGTGTTAAAATATTTTTAAAGGTTTGACCTAGAATTTATAGGATTAAATAAATTTGATAGATTTAAGATGATTAATAAGTAGTCTCCAAATGTTACTAGGATTGCAAAGCCGAAGCCTTTCATTTGGTGCCATACAAGTACATGATAATCCTCGGATTTTCCCTTAAAACGATTTCCTCATAAATTTCCGTTTTGTTTGAATATAAAATAATTTGAATCATAATTTGATAGTATTGAATCGCAATATCATTCGAACCTATAATTACATTTATAATATTACTAGGGACCCGCCCTCGCTTCGCTTCGGAAACATTAAAACACACATGAAACCAAAAAAAAAAAAACAATAAAAAAAAAAAAAAAAAAAATTGCCTATGTTCATCAGGGACAATGTCGGCTTCTAATGGAAAAAGAATTTTTCAAATCGGTCCAGTAGTTTCGGAGCCTATTCGAAACAAACAAACAAACAAACAAATCTTTCCTCTTTATAATATTAGTATATATTATCTCAGAATAGTTACGATTACGATTTATAATGGCCACTTGTGTCTTCCATTCGCGTTTTTACAGGCAACGGTAATTCATATTACTTCAATAGATGTAGTAAGGGATATGTCAATGGTTTCAATTTTTATCACGCTCTTATTAGCTTGGTATGACTGTATGTTTGTTTTTATATAAGGAAATCTTTGAACATACTAAAACACTTCCGATTTACTTCTAAATTTGCATACCCATCAAGGACCGATGACAATCTAATAATATTATAACTCTAATATCCTGACCTCTCTAGTATCAACAGAATTAAAAAGATGACATTAATTGTTATTTCTATATGACATTGTTTGGTTATTGCTTTATACTCGTACAAACGTGGGTCAAATGAACGATTTCATAGCTTTAATTGACATTTTCATGTTTATCATCAGGTAAGCTGTTGCATATAAGATTTTTATAAAGTTTTTTACGCGCCTGTATCTTGATGTTATAATATAATATCTTCCGCCTTATAATGTGGTTGTTGTGGATTACCGTCGAACAAAATATTTCTTCAAGTGTCCTTAGCTCTGCGGGCTGATAGTTCGAAAGGAACACCGCACCCCCCTGCCGAAACTACCCAGGCTCGCAGACCAAAAGACATTTCTCTAACGACAGCCGGCAGTGCCTCCCTTATCGAGTGGATGTTCAAATTCGCCTTAGGCTAATTTATAAATGTTCAGTAAATAATAACACAATTTCTTTAGCTTCAAACTCAAATTGTCTTCGAAATGTTTTATACAATTACAGAGCCCTTCAGGATCTCAACTAGCCCTAGACACGTCCTTACGGATCCATGAGATCCAATAGCCCTTGCATTAGACACCTTTAGCTTTAGCTCTAAGACTAGGAGTAGGGTCCCCGGTAAACGTACTCGTCAAACTCGGCAAAGAGTTCGACATGCAACCTTACCTAAACATCAGCCCGCTGAGTTTCTCGCCGGCTCTTCTCAGCGGGTCGCAATTTCGATCCGGCAGTAAATTCATTTGCAAAGCAGCTACTCTTGAGCTGTTAGGTCTCCTTTGGAGGCGCTTGAGCAGCTGTTAGCAAATCCCACCCCTCCTGGCTGAGCCCTTGCTCGCCCACCTGCCCTGGTAAAACTGTAAGGGCCTTCGGGCCACCAGTAATCTCTCAAACATAAAAAAAAACGTAATTAAGCACAAATTTCTAAAAGCTTTTGTAGCATTCAATAATAGCTTTTGTTGCTATGTCGTTAGGAATGTTTGACGTGTTTGATATCTTAACTTGGTTGTTAAAATAATAAAAACGAATTAATTAACTTTATGAAATTTCATTAATCCATCTCACATAAATTTTCCTTAAAGAGAGAGAGATTCAGAATTCTTACAACCTAATTAAACACAAACAAATAAGGTAACTAATTAACTGCGTGTTTGCTCAAGGCTGGCAGACTCGCTTCGTATTGATCTGAACCTGCGAACACTCACTAACTTTAATTAGATCCATGAGGCGGGGTGCCTCTTTATATTCAATGACATTTTATTTGACAAGAATCAAGCGACATTCGTAATTGGTAAACTTATTAAAACCATCAAAAGTATTCCGATTACAAACGTGCAACTCACTTTAATGAATCCGACGAAAAAACGACATATACGTAAATCAAAGTGGTCATAATGTAAAGGTTAATTTTTTTTTTAATTCCCACAGTATCCCATATACTTTACTCGCATTTTGATACAAGTAATTTTTCCAATTTCAGACTATTCGAAGAGAACGAAGACCTACTGCATCTATTCGAGAAATTCCAAGAGCTTCGGACCACGGAGGATCTCTCTCAATCCGAAGAGCTAGCGGAGCACGCCAACAAAGTGATGCACACCCTGGATGAGGGGATCAAGGGCTTAGGAGATATTGACACATTCTTGGCGTACATACAGCATGTAGGTGCCACTCATCACCAAGTCCCTGGATTTAAGGCAGAGAACTTCTGGGTAATTATTAATGACTAACCTCACTAAGGAACAAATTTTGAATTAAAAGTCAATCTTATCAAATTATTCGCTGAATTTTTGTTGGAAAATTCGTTGGGCTAAGAAGGAAGAAAAAAAAAAGAATAAAAAATTGTAAAGCTATGCTGGGGGGAATAACGAATTTATTTATGAAATGAATTACTTGTCTTTTTAAATATTATATAAGCAGATATATATGTATAAGATACTGACAGTGTGATAAGGAATGATTATATCAGTATATCAGAGGAAGTGTGAAAGTAGCCCAGTGATTGATAAATTACAGAGCGTGGTATGGACATGTGATGCGTAGAGAGTATGAGAGAGATGTATGGAAATGCTAGTGCAATGTAGGTAGAGGGGGAAGGGGTCGACCGAAAAAGACATGGATGGAATGCGTGAATGACGATATGAGAAAGAGAGGAGTGAGCGTTGAGATGACGGCTGATAGAAGAGAATGGAATAGAAAAATTCGCTGTGCCGACCCCAACTAGTGGGATAAGATGGAGACAAGGAAGAAGACTGATAGTGTGAGTCAGACTCATTATTCTACGATCTCTGCTGCATAGAGATTATGGTTTTTGGTTTAAAGGATAGCGCCGATTACCGTGGAGACATCAACATCCTCCGGCTCCATCCACCATACCCTTCGCCTATTTAATAAAAAAAACAAAGTCATTGTGATCTAGAAGCTAAGACCCATATTGACAATGCTGGTGTTCAAATCTCGCTCGGAGGTACCAATTTTGCTAAGAAAATAAGTACTTCATAGGGATGATTTCCAGAATTCGCGAGTAATAAAAATTATGATTTTCTGAATTTCTGATAATCTTGCTTTAGTAAAGTGTAAACGCTGCACGGGTAGGTACCACCAAACTACCTATTTCTACCTACCTACCTTAGTTTGAAAAGCGGGAGAGTGAGAACGGTGTTCACACCTATTTCTTAAATTGTATTTGCCGCGTTTAAGCAAACACTGGGCGCTGTAGTGAATGTAATTATAACAACGATTTGAGGGAAACGAAAAGCCGCTGAAACCCGTTATATAAGTGAAGAGAGAATTCGGTTAATTGAATTAGTTTAAATCTCGTTCACAGAATTCGTTCCGTCGATTTGATTATATTATAAAATGTTATTTGTAAATTTTATTTATAATAAAGTTTAATTAAAAATTACGAGTACATTTTTTTTTTAAGTTAATGTATTTAGGGTATGTACTTTTTTTAACACGAAACATACCATTAGGGATCAAATGACCCATTTTGAACCTTTGTATGGAAAATGCACGTATCATCTTATTGCTTTTGCATATTTGACTTCATCAATTTTTTTTTATTGCTTTGATTGGTGAACGAGCTCACAGCCTACCTGGTGCTAAGTGGTTACTGGAGCCCATAGCCCATGGATAGCTGATGGCTTATCCATTTATGCCTTAAAAAACATCACAACTCTGTTAGCGTTTGTACATGACTTTTAGGAAGCACTCGAATCCGAAATTAATTCCATTTATTATGAAATTCTCAATCAAAACATGCTTATTAAATAAAGAAAAATCTATACTATATTAATACGTGAAGCAAAAACTTTGTATCTTTTTTTACGTATGAAAGGAGTATGAAATTTTCCACACTTATAGAGAATACAGAGAAGTGCACAATGCTAATATTTTTTAAAATAATTCATAAAAGATACATTAAATCAATAAAGAAAACATTACACACACTACATACCATGTATGTGACGCACACACGCATGCATACTATTTATTGTCAAACTTTTGTTTTTGACGTCTGTTGTCAAATTGAGAATAGATTAAATATTGTTTGTCTTTGTTAATATTTTTTAAAGTGTAGTCTAGGCGAAATTTGTGATTATAGAAGTATAAAATACAATCATAATGGTATACAAACTTACAATTCCAATTAATTATAGTCGAATTTCGACTACTGCGGGACCTCTAGTACAATAAAAAACCCAAAAAATTTTTTTATTCCTGTCCCAAAATCCTCTAATGTTTTAAAAACCAATTTTTTTTTCAGAAAATCGAGCAGCCCTTCCTTCAAGCGGCCAAAACAACTCTTGGCGAGAGGTACACGGCAAACGTAGAGAACATTTACAAGCTCACGATCAAATTCATCCTTGAGAATCTAGTGAAAGGATACGAGGACTCGGCCGGGAAAGAAATCGGGAACAACGAGACCACGTAGTCCTGGCCAACAGTGATCTTTGTGTAAAAAACCTTTCGAAACCATCTTGAGTCTTTTGCTCATTTAAACTTTTATGAAAATCGTAAAAGAAATAAACCGCATAACGAAGATGCTTAAAAACTCCTATTTGTAATCAGGGGAATTGTTTCATCATCATCATCATTCTTTCCTATTACCCTCTGCTGGGGTGTAGGGCTCGAATCAAGTTTTTCCATTTATATCGGTCTTGGGCAGTCTGTTCTAGCTCCTCCCACGTCATGCCCAAGACCCCTAGCTCCTGCTCCACCGAGCGACGCCAAGTTGTTCTGGGGCGGCCTCTGGGGAATTGTTTGGTTGAATTTAAAACTCTTGTCAGAATACTTTGTGTTTAATAATATCTGTGTACAGGATCAGTATTATTTTGTTAGGCTGACCATGAAACGAAAAGTTTTTCGAAAATAGCATCAACGCCATATTTCAATGTCTCGCAACCCGAATGAAACTTCTATCAGAACATTTCATTTTATTTATCAATAATAATTGTGTGCGAGTATTTTTTGCGTAAAAACATCGTCTCTTTTTAATTTGAGGCCTGTATATTTAAAGTTTCGTACCAAAGCTTTCTCTGATAATTTTTATCACGATCCTAAACATATTAAAATCACTGAGGCTAATACGTATTATAACGACTATAGATACAATAGTTGCCACAGACTCGTTGACTATCGTAATAACAATTAAAAATCTCTATGGAATAATAAAACTGAACTGTTTTTGTTCGGCGCGTAATGTAACGCTATCAAAAGTCAGTTCACGCGTAAGGTCAACGTCCTAGCCATCGCTAGTGACGCAGGAGCCTAACTTGGCGATTATCACAATACACAATTGGAACTTACTAAGATGAATTAAAGTATTTAATAAGCTTAGCTGAGAATCTTATTAACGATATTCAGTTTATTGTTTTTCCTTTGTATTCTTAAATCTCAACATTTTGGCCTCAAGTGTAATTTGTACACTCTATAAAGTAATCAAGCAATGTAATTTAAACAAATATTGTATTACATAAGAACGCTTAATATCATAATTTAGATTTAAATAAAGAAGAACATCTTCGATTTTATAAAATTACCGTTTATTTTTAATTGAGTTGAATAGTTTGTAATAATAAAAATAATATTCAATCTATTCACTTTCATTTCAATTTGGTTATAATTTAATTCTAGTAATAATATTAAAGGTATATTAGGTTTAAATACAGGAAAAAAAAATACATTTTTTTTTTGTCTAATTTTGTTTGTGTTCTCTTTACTAGTCTAGTATTTTAATTAGATTTAAAAAACTTAGATTTTAAATGAAACTATAAAAATGTATAATTAAATTACAGAAGAACTTGCCGTTATATTATTTGAAGATTTGTTGTTATGGTATACTCGTGTCTAGTGATGCTACTGTTGAAGTGAAGCAGACGGATACCAATTTTTCTATGGAAGTACGTACTTGGCATGCCTTCACGGATGAGTCATACCCCTAAATCCTGATCACTCACCCTTCCTTCCTTTTTACTGGTGGTAGGACCTCTTGTGAGTCCGCGCGGGTAGGTACCACCGCCCTGCCTATTTCTGCCGTGAAGCAGTAATGCGTTTCGGTTTGAAGGGTGGGGCAGCCGTTGTAACTATACTGAGATCTTAGAACTTGTATCTCAAGGTGGGTGGCGCATTTACGTTGTAGATGTCCATGGGCTCCAGTAACCACTTAACATCAGGTGGGCTGTGTGCTCGTCCACCCATCTAAGCAATAAAATAAAAATAAAAAAACAGTACTTGGCATGTCTTCACGGATGAGTCACACCCCCGAATCCTGATCACGCAGGAGCCGGTCACCGTCGTCGCCCTAGACACGTCCTTACGGATCCATCAGATCCAATAACCCTTAGATTAGATGCCTTCAGCTCTAACACTAGGAGTAGGGACCCCGGTAACCGTACTCGAACTTGGCAAAGAGTTTGACGTGCAGCCTAACCTAAACATCAACCCGTTAAGTTTCTCGCTGGATCTTCTCAGCGGATCCGGTACTAGATTCACTCGTGAAGCAGCTACTGTTGAGTTGTTAGGTCTCCCTTGGAGGCATTCGTAGCTGTTAGCAAATCCCGCGCCTTCTGGCTGAGCCCTTGCTCGCCCACATGTCCTGGTAAAACTGGAAAGGCCTCCGGGCCACCAGTAATCAATCAATCCCAAAGATTTTCCCAAAGACTATAAAATCATACTCAACTTAACTAGCGATATAAAAAAAAAAGAAAAAAAAGGATGACTCACACGATGAAAGAATAACATCGTGTATTAACAATCAGACCTGTGTAATAGAAGGTGTCTAAGGGATTCTCCGGAGAATAGCTAGAAACGTTCTCTAGTTACTATAAAAGGGTACGGCAACCGCCAACCCTCATTACCTGGTGGTGTAACGCACTGCAAGCTCATACGTGTGCCATCATCTCGCCTATTTCTGCCGCATACCACTCATACATTTCGGATTAAAGAGTAGAGCAGCGATTATACAATACAATCAATGCCTCATGTCTCAAGGTGCGTGGCGACATGTCCATGAGCAATGATGGCGCTAATCTAACGACTCCGTCTTGCACTCTCTCGACGTCCGAGTTACAGTCAGGGTCAGAACTCGATCAGAGTAGAGGATTCCCGCGGTCAACACTACAACCCGACTCGCGGCGTCACCCCAAGGACGCCCGACGTCTAACTCGATTGAGGGCCCCCTCTCGACTGTCCTACAGTGCCAGGTGTAAGAAATAGAGCACGCTGATGCCTGGAATTCGACCTTCGGACTTTTACCCAACCTAACCCACGGCTAGGAATTACCGCAACCTAAACTCTATTTTTCGACTTTTGGCCAGCTTTTCGGGTTTTGGCCCCACTGTGCGACGGGTCGTCGAAGCGATCCAATTCTCTTAGCGCAACAATATTGATCTACCTTCCTGTTCCGATTGAATGCGTAATATAAAATATAAAATTGCTATTTGAACAGCGAATTGGTTTCACACTAACGGCAGACGTATGTACGAATGTTTTATTTTAATAAAAGAAAATTTAAGAGAGTATTTTGAATCGCGCCTTTCTGACATACAAGATAATATAATAGCCAACAAAAATAAATGTTAGTAATGTTAATATCGTTTCCAAATAAACAGATTCGAACGATCAGCCATCTGATCTCAAACTTCTCGTACATGTTAGACTTGGATTGACAAAAGACGTTAGGAATCAATGAAAGGTTATTGGAAAACAAGACGAGGACACAATTACTACAAAGATATCGAGAATAGCAAGGGGAATCGCAAACCCGTGGTCTGATTAGTGACCGAACAGATTATTGTTATTGACAATCCTCGCAGTAATTAAACTTTACAGCAGAAAATCCGTCCGCACGTATTTGGTAGACATATTTGGTATTTACAGTAGGCAGCGGTTTGGTTCTGCCCCTGGCTTTGCTGACGTCCACAAACGACGGTAACCACTTAATCAGGTGGGCTGTTTCCTCGTAGCCTACAAAGGAAATAAAAAAAGGATTAGCCTTAGAAACTACCAACGATTCATCACTCTCCTGCCCTTCTCCCAGTCACCTCGGGTCGACGAAACATATTTTCTTCTTCCATACTCTGGTGTGTGTGGTGGGCGCCTAAGAATACCCCCAACCCTCCCCAAAGCTCTAGAGTGTCGTAGCGGGCAACTAATAGCCAAAGCCTGACCAACGCCAATACAACTCAAGCCTAAGATCAACAAAAGCATTCCCAAGGTTGACGTCAGGCAGGTGGCCGGTCATAAAAAAATTCCCAAAACTTTAGAGCAACATGAGTATGAATAAAAAGAGACTACCAACGATTGTAAAAGGATAATTAATTCGGCAGGAAACTGTACTGCAACGGCTACGTGACCGTGTGTCTCACGACCGCACGCTTCGTGCCCCACAAAGAGACAATTTTTGTCGCAATTTCGATGCACGTTTGAGTTATGAAATTTTAAATCAGATCTTTTCCCGGAGCCGAGCTTCCACTTGAAAATATCGTTGGGAGCTCTTAAGCTTTCATATCTTTGAAACTTTGTACGTGTTCAAAGACACAAACCAACTGTATTTGTATATAAATTATTTTTTAAATATAACATCTGCATATCGAGATGTGAAAAACGTGGTCTTTATTTTTGCTATTAAGGATGCGTTTTATTTGGTATTAGCATCAACAATTCGATGTTTTCAATTGAGCTTCAATTAAGCTTACTCCATTGTAATAGTAGGAATAACATAATATTTTTTCGAAATTTTAAACTGGAAATGGCACACCTGTAAAGTATCCAAAATTCCGCTCAGATCGAACCCTTCGATCTAAAAATATGTGTGTAAATATCTGTAATATTATTATAATGTATTATTATCAATATTGTTTTTGTAGCATAGAACAAGCTCACAGTCTTAGTCATATTTTAAAATCGGGGTGTATCACTGGTGCCCGTTTAAGAAATGACTTTAATTTATAAATTATGAAGGGCATTGCAAAGCAAATAGATATAGTCCGATTTTTTCAGACAAAACACTACAATAGGCAACGGGACACTGGTAGCCAAACAAAATTTTTTTTTTTATAAAATATATTTTAATTCACTGATGAAATCTAGAAATTCTAACGTTATTCACTTCAAACCAAACACTACTCACAACGCAAGACGTCAAATGTCGCCTTAAGGAAAGGTATTAGTGCAAGTAATGTAAAGTATAATACTGCATTTTTAAATAAAAGAACTTCTCGAATAAGTTGACGAAATTTCGACTAAAGGCATCATCAGTACCTAATACTACACTTAATCAAACTACCTCTTGGACTTCCAATAAGAATGAAGGGTGGAAATTCAGATAAATCGCGTAACTCTAGTCAAAGAGTGATTACTATAATTTATTACTTGGGATAATATAGAAGGTTCAGTTATGTTAATTTGGAAATTACACTGACATAGCCGTGGGCTAATTTTAGCTCACTAGGTGGGGGAGGAAAGTCCTCGAATGGAGGCCACGGATAGGTACCAGGAGCGTGGGGCGTCCTCCAACCAGATGGACTGACGACTTAGTGCGCACGGCGGGAAGTCGTTGGATGCGGAAGGCGGAGGACCGCATTATTTGGAAGACATTGGGGAAGGCCTATGTCCAGCAGTGGGCAGATAAAGGCTGATGATGATGATGATGATGATGAGGAAATATTTGGTTTGGCCAAATGTAAAAAATAGTACAATTACATAAATTCAAGACAATATACACTTACAATGCATCAACCATCATTGATTGTACTCGTAATGTTCGGGTGCACTTCTCTGAGTAACCTTTTCTTGGTCCTAAGCAAACACGATTCTGTCTCGGAATGGGAAAGCAAATAGATTTATAAATTAATAATCAAATAACATAATAGTATATTGTTTATCACATTCACACATTTGTTATTTACTTTTTATGATTTTTATTTCTGAAATACTTAATTTACCGTTTTTGCGTCACAAGCCAAAAGTCGTTTTATTCCAAAACACAAAAGTACAATTAGAAGCAATTTTGATTGATAATTATGATAATAAGATAACGCGGGATAGAAAAACGAGAAACATATAGAAAGGGCCTACATCCAATGATTTTTCAATGTTAAACCAATGCTATTTGACTCTTAACCCTAATCTCATGCGCATGACATATATGAAACTAGCTTAGAAAGTGAAGTCAGAAGTATATTTTTGTTGAAGAAGCCAAATGAACGTCCCATCTGATTGGTCGATGCTGATCACTTGGACACCAGTTGGACATTTCTTGTTTACTGCTCTTTTCAAAATTAGCCATGTTAGTAAAACTGCACTGAAAGAAAATCTTTTTGATCTATTCTCGTGCGTGAGTGCGCAGTAATCAGACACAATGAATACATGAGGTATTCGATTTTGAAATTTAATGGAACCGTACCAAATACAGTATAGATTCGTATTGTTTCATTATTGATTTATACTAGGGGTCCCGCAGTAGTCGAAATTCGACTATAATTAATTGGAATTGTAAGTTTGTACACTATTATGATTGTATTTTATACTTCTATAATCACAAATTTCGCCAAGACTACACTATAAAAAATATTAACAAAGACAAACAATATTTAATCTCAATTTGACAACAGACGTCAAAAACAAAAGTTTGACAATAAATAGTATCCATGCGTGTGTGCATCAAATACATGGTATGTAGTGTGTGTAATATTTTCTTTATTTATTTAATGTATCATTTGGCATTATTTTAAAAAAATATTAGCATTGTGCACTTCTTCTCTATATTATCTATAAGTGTGGAAAATTTCATACTCCTCCGTCCGCGCAATTTTCGTAAAAAGGGATACAAAGTTTTTGCTTCACGTATTAATATATATAGTTAGATTAACTATTTACCTATGAAGTTGCTGTTTAGTAAAGAGAAAGTTAAAGTCATTTTTTTTCTATCAATTAAATTAACCACCAATGGTATTAATGCACCTTTGGCAGTGAAGTGGTGATTTTTTAGTACCCTTCTTGGAGAAGTCAGGACTAGGGGAGCCAAGAAACTCTTCAAAGGCATTTTGTACTGCCTCTCAAGTATACATTTATTTCAACAACATTGCAAATTGATAACTTCATAGGTAAAAACCTAAAAAATCCTAAAAATGTTTAACTCATAAATGATTTTTATGTCATAGCATAGCATGTCGACATCAAAAACAGTCTACCCGTGACTGTAGGTCCTTGCAAAAGCGCCTAAAATTGCGGAAACTCATTTAACGTGAAAAACTGGGTAAGTATAGCCCAGTCGATTACCTCGAATGTTTAAAGCATTTCGTGTCAAGCCCAAAGTCAGATTTATACATTTTATTAAAATTGTCGTTTTCTACCTACGAATAAATAATTATTTAACGAATAAATCATTACGAATTACGAATAAATAACGAATTACGTATAAATAATTTTTTATTCGTAGTTTTCTACGCATCGACCCCAACACGACAATCGTCAATTAGATTATTTATAGAAATTTTATCAGTTACAAAACATGTGGTCTCAAAATTGTCTCGGCAAACGTTGTGTTGTGATCAATTTCAATTTTCAATCTAACTCGTTAGAGGCGGAAGAAACGAAACGCTCGCTTCAATTAACCAAGAAATGGGAGGATATTTATTTGTGAACGTCTCTTCCTTTCCTTTGTCGTATCCACGTATCACTCTTGTCAGAGCGGTCGTCACTCCATGATTGCTGCGGGCAGATGTTATGCATCTCACGAGCAATCGCCACTTCTCCCGGGCTGTGGTGAACCTGGTACACTTATGCAAGTAGCCGCCAACTGTTGATTTCACTTGGTCGGTCCATCGCATACCTTCCTCCAACCTTCCGGCAACCTTCCTCCACCTCTTTTTAATACGCTTTTATTAGCTTCAGACGTAAGTGTATATGTTTTTAACTAACAAAATACGCTTTTATAGAAAAACCAAACTAAAAAATAGATAATAAATTTTAATAAATTTGAATTAAAAATAAGAAGTGTAAGAAAAAATGATTTTATTGTAAAAAAAGCGTGAGGTGCATGGTATAATATCAGTAGTTATAAATATTTTATGAACAGGTGAAAAGCACCACCACACCACAAGCATTTTTTAGTTAGTTTTCTATAAAAGCGTATTTTGTTAGTTTTTTTAAACTATTATTTTTATTAGAAGTTTTATGAAATTTTATTGTTAATAAATCATTTTTTTATTTTCATTAAAATCAATTATGCAATTTTGAAAATGTTTCCAATGGATCGGAACCTAACGTATATTAAGTATTAGAGTTCAAGGCCCACCTGCTATTAAGTGGTTACTTAAGCCCAATGAATCACAAAATGATTACTTCCTCTACTGATTATCCTTATATAATATATCCTTTGTGAGATTTGATGAGACCCTTGAGATTAACCCTATACTAATTTAATAACCAAACTTATTTCATGTTCGCTCGAGATTTTGCGAACAAAATTGGATACTCCCAAAACAGGTTTAACAAAGATTTAATGATGTTCTCTTATTGACTATAAAACTAATAATACGTATGGAACAGTAAACTCTAATTATTATACGTGTGGTTAAATTAGAGCTTGCACAATTTAGGAAATAACAATGGAAGTTACTCAAAGTTTTTTTTATGTTTGAGAGATTACTGGTGGCCCGGAGGCCTTTCCAGTTTTACCAGGACAAGTGGGCGAGCAAGGGCTCAGCCAGGAGGGGTGGGATTTGCTAACAGCTATCCGAGCGCCAAAGCGCCGAGTTGTTTCTTGAGAGTTGCTAATGAATCTACTACCGGATCGGAATCGCGACCCGCTGAGAAGATCCGGCGAGAAACTCAGCAGGCTGATGCTTAGGTTAGGAGCCTCAATGTATTGGTCAAATATAAATAAAGTGTGTACATAGAAAATAATGAAAATCAAAATTTAAACAAATAATATGTAGTTTAGAAAAAACTAAAAAAGACGCTTTATATAAAATTCAACTAAAAAATAGAAAATAAATTTAAGCTTTAAGATATTATTGAATTAATAATTCTTCTACTCATATCTGTCAGAAAAATATTTATAACTAATAACACCATGCACCCCACGGTTTTTTGTTGATAAAATATATATATTTTTTAAACTATTTTCATCTTCAATTTATTAAAATTTATTTTCTATTTTTTAGTTGAATTTTAGATAAAGCGTGTTTTTTTGTTTTTTTAAACTATTATTTATTTTTCATTTTTTAATTAAATTTCAACTTTTCAATAAATTTTTTTATATTGAATTGTCATCGGTCCTCTATAAATCTACAAAGTTTGAATGAAATCTGACCGTTTAAAGTGGGTTAAAATCGCGTCTAAAGGAGTCAGTTACAAATGTACATACAAGTGAAGCTAATATAAAGCGTGTAAAAAGAATTTTCTCGGCACACGATCAAACAGCTCTTGAAGACGTTTGCTTGTACGACATATTATCATTCCCTTTCCGCGTATCCCATATGTGATGTTATTAATGGAATGAGAAGACTTTGAGCGAAATGAAAACTGTAAGACGGCCGGGTTATGTAGCTTCAGGGCACGGGGGTAGCTACCCTTGAAAATGTATAGAGTTATTTATAGCTCTAATATGGGTTCCTTTACGGTTACGGTTTTAATACAATTTTTATGCGGATATTCTTGGATTTTGATATAAAAGTATATTCTAAATGAAAAATAAATAATAGTTTAAGAAAACTAAAAAAATACGCTTTTATAAAAAATCCAATTAAAAAAAAATTAATAAATTTGAATTCAAAATAGTGTAAGAAAAAAATATTTTATGGTAAAAAAAAGCGTCGTAGCAGTCGATGTGTGTATAACTAATGTTAGAATGATAATATTTTCGTAGCGGATCTCTAAAATCTTTCCATCGATGGGCTAATAAAGGTACCCGCCACAGCTTCACTCGGATACAAGCCCTCAATATAGAAAATACATTAATACAGACGATATAAGCACTTCCACAAACAATTCTATAGATAAAAATTAAAATAAAACCATTACTACCAAAAATATAACGAAGTATTTATTCAAGTCTTTATTGCAGTCAAGTTCCGGGCAGAATTACAAATATACATATATATTATACATGAATATAAATTCATGACGGAACAAGCGTATATCGTTATAACTTACGATAAATAAAACAACTTCTTTAATAAGCAAAGGTTCAAACACTATGAAAACAAACAGTAAAAACTTCGTTGCTAGCGTGCATCATTGCTATGCGATCTATGTGGCCAAGGGCGGATCCAGCTTTGGTGCCAGGAGGGGGTCACATAGTCATGGTCAAGTCAAGAACTTATAATTTAATTTTGATAACAATAGATACAAGTAAAAAGTAGGTACTTTATTAATGTACGTAAGTACTGTACTTAAAAATATTTATTGAAAAACTTAACACATAATAACTTGTACATATACACGTACATATTGTCATCTTCTCTTGAAGACATCCAGAAAAGCACTATCACGCCCGGAACGAGGCAGCTTATTTATATTCCATAACCGTGGTCCTAAAATCATTATGTTCAATATGTGGTCCACCTAGATCCTGGAACCAGCTCAGGGGGGGGGGGTCATGACCCCCATGACCCCCCCCTGGATCCGCCCTTGTATGTGGCGCAAACACAATTGACTAAAGAAGCTGAACCATCTAGAAATCAAGCCATTCAGTATCACAGACGAAAATGAGTACAAAAGCAAGAATCGGCACAATTATAGGCATAAACGAGTTAAAAAACTATCATGTGCTGGCGCGACAAATGCTCTCAGAATTTCTGGGAACTTTTTTGTATTTATCCTTAATTTTGCTCACGGGTACTAGTTTGAATCAAGGCCCGACTGGCAGTGCCTTGGCAAACGGCCTTCTCATTTCCAGCATTATCCAGTTCACTGGCCATATCTCTGGTGGGCATTTGAACCCGGCTATCACCTTTGGGGTGATGGCCAACGGTCAAATTACGATGGTCAGAGGTGCTTGTTATATCGCAGCGCAGATACTTGGCTCCATAGTAGGTAAGTTTATGCTTGAATATGAGATATATTTAGCATTTTCTTCGGTTATCGCGAGGCATAATTAAAACTATTTTTTCGGTTTCATCTTGTTTTTTGAACTTCTTTCCAACGTTTCTAATAAAGTAGTCATATTTTCGAGATTCATGCTTTGAGGTTTTTAATGCGTCGTAGCATTGTGCATCAGGTAAGTAGTTAAAAGTGATAGGAGCTTTGCTCTAGTTTAGGCGTCGTACAATGGCCTAGAAAGACTAGATATAAGGCATGGCTGCCTTGTTTTTTTTTGAACCGAAATACGATAGTTAAATTTATTCAAGCAAGACATGATTAGCAAATAACTTAGCGTCCATTTGGCATTTTTAATATTCTATTTAATTTAGATCCCACAGACACAACCCCACGACCCACTGCGAAGATCCGGCGAGAAACTCATTCTCGCCGGTCACTAGGAATAGGTAGACAAAAAAAGGTGTTAATTGTATGTGAACTGTCAGAATTATATCTGGTAACATAGCCAAAGCTACTAATATAAAAATTATCATATTTTTTTCTGTTTTCAGGTTCATCAGTGGCTTATGCCGTCACAGTATCTTCATTAAGGAGTACGCTGGGTACGACTGTTCCGAATCCAAATTTAAGAGCAGAACAAATCTTCGCTATAGAATTTTTGATCACATTCATTTTAGTGGCGGTCGTGTTAAGCGTTATCGACCCAAACCGAGGATTTGCTGGCATCGGCTCTGGTGCTTTCGCTATTGGCCTCAGTATTACCGGCTGCCAATGTTCTTGTCTACCTTACACTGGAATTCTGAATCCCATCAGGTCTTTAGGACCCGCTGTATTAATGAATTCGTGGGATTCCCATTGGGTGTACTGGGTTGGGCCAATTTCGGGTGGCGTAGCCGCTGGTTTGGTCTACAGGTTTTTGTTAAGACCCAATTGGAAGAACGTTGGCAATTATGAAGAATGATTTATTACATATTTATTTCGTTTTTGGAATAACTGCTTTTTTTTTTAATAACTTCGATTAATTATTTCGTTGTTTTTCTTTTCAATGCTCTTTAACCTCATCCATATTTTATTTCTGAGACCTATGTTCTACTTCCCCGTGCCTTCGAATTCCTCTACGGAAATGCATGCCTTACGTACGTGTTTAAGACTGCGGCGATGAAAGGCTAACGTTGTGTATTAAATATTTATTTATTTATTTATTGCACAACGTAAACGCGCCACCCACCTTGAGATATAAGTTCTAAGGTCTCAAGTATAGTTACAACGGCTGCCCCGCCCTTCAAACCGAAACGCATTACTGCTTCACGGCAGAAATAGGCAAGGTGGTGGTACCCACCCGCGCGGACTCACAAGAGGTCCTACCACAGTAATCAAATCTATAGAGGTGAATAACGTCGCTCTTAAATAGATACTAGTAGCTTATTCGATTTGCCTAATACCTTGTCATCGCTTGAGATCGTGAGATCATAAGCTATCCGGTATTAAATAATACGGCCACGCTTGAGATATCGGTCTAAGTATCAATGCATAACCGCTATCCCATCCTTCAAACCACAACGGATCATTCCTTGTATCAGATATAGGCAGGATGCAAACGGTAGGTAACTATGGCAATTTGCTTATGGAATACTCCGGTAAATTCCTTAGTGTTGACTAAGTTACGACACTGATTGAATAAATCTGGTGGTGCTATTCTAGACAACCGCAGTGTCAAAATAAAATATATTTTTCCTTTAAATTATTTTCCTTTTTCTGCATTGTCTCAAACCACCGAACCCATTATAGTAATAAAGTAACTCATGTTGTTATTTGTTTCCATAAACAAAATAGTCTAGTTCAAATAAAAAAACTACATTGAAAGACAGATTAACTCGATCGATTTTGTAGTGAATATTCCGCTAAACTGACCCGAACATCAATTTCCGTAATGACCTATTCCATCGCCAACAGATTAATTAAGCGTCTAGTTTGAATACGTGCTTTGGACAGCGGTGAAACCTTCGCAATAGTGAACTGGGAAACGGGTCGATGTTATGAAATTTTTAAACTAGCTGAAGGATTTTTGTTGATTCCATAGACTAGATAAACATTTCCTACTGGTGGTAGGACCTCTTGTGAGTCCGCACGGGTAGGTACGACTACCCCGCCTATTTCTGCCGCGAAGCAGTAATGCGTTTCGGTTTGAAGTGTGGGACAGCTGTTGTAACTATACTGGGACCTTAGAACTTATATCTCAAGGTGGGTGGCGCATTCACATTGTAGATATCTATGGGCCAGTAACCACTTAACACCAGGTGGGCTGTGAAGCTCGTCCAGCCATCGAAGCAATAAAAAAAAGATGTGTGGTGTCGTGGGACACCGGATAGGAACGAAGTTCTTTATTATAAAAATATTAATTTTAAGTTCTATTCGAGGTATAAAGAAAATAAATCTTCGGGTATGCATTATTTATTATGATTTTTTTATTGATAAAAAAAACTGCTTTACAAAGTCATCAACTTTATTTTATTCACAATGATTTATAAAAAATATATAATAATAATACACAAAGAAACACCTATTTAAATGAATAATAATAATAACCGTCATCACGTAGACTATACATAACACTGTATAGCCATCATACTAAGAATAAGACTATACATAAATAATAAAAACTTACGTTACGGACGTTTTTTCCCGGTTAGGGTAACCCTCCGCATCGTCCCATAAGGAACCTCGTTCCAAAAAAACCATTACGTGAATAACACCACCGAAATTTAGATTTTAAGGCCTGAGTCGAAGTGCTGATGTTCTTCGTAATTATGGTATATAAATTGTCCGACGTTTCAAAAAAAAGCGCTGAACTGCAAAGCATGTAGTTAAGAGTAGGTTCCACCATCCTACTGCTCAGCAACCATGCGTGGAACAGCAACTGAATTGGGTAATCGACTTCATTTATCAAGCTGGGTGCTGGCGTTAACGCTGTCATGCCTATAACCCTCCATTAGATCCAATAATTCTTGCATTAGACATATTAAGTGTATAATCTATGGTCTAGACGCCTTCAGCTCTAACGCTAGGAGCAGACTTAGGGACCCCGGTAACCGTCCTCGTCGGACTCTGCAAAGAGTTCGACGTGCAACCTAATCTATGCATCAGCTTATAACCTACGGTGAGCACCAAATCACAGATGGCCAATGAGCGAATAAAACAAAAAAAATATATTGAAAATTTGCTAAGTCCGAGATATAAATATGTGATCGTAGTCACAAGTACGTACACTGGATGTTATACTGGATTAATATTTAAGGTTTGCATCAAATTAAATAAGCAAAGAAATGTTACTATTGTTGATCGAAGAAAGAAATAGAACAAAATAAGGGATTATAATCTAGGTAGGTAAGTATCCTTGCAAAAATCATATTTTCAAAAGTTTCCTTTCTCAAAATATTATTATTACCTAAGTTATAGATTGAAGGTACCTAGCAGATAACATACATTTATTGTTACTTAGCTGAAAAACAACATCCGCCTGACCCTTGCGTTTTTCATTGGGTCTGACTTATTCTACTCTGATATTTGATGGTTTACAATATTCATTTTAACGCCATCTATTGGGAAACTTTATATATGTATACTGTGTAAATTTTTTTGAAATTTGAATTTTCGTTTTGGCCAAAAACAGCAAACATAATAAAAATACAGCATCGCATGTATGCGCAATCAGTCTTTAGTCATATAAAAATAATAAAACATGTTTATTGAATTACTCCGAAACCAACTAAAGATAAATTTTAATAAAAACTGATCATTGACCAATAAAAAAATCGTATTAGCTTGCGTTTCTGAACGTTTAGAATAGTGACGTCAAACTCGTCAAAGAAATTACTGAAAATGTCATTTTCTTCGTGACGTCTTTCCTATTTTAACCTTGGTTTCTTCGTTAGCTAAAATCGATGATACAATGTTATGTTTGCATAAAATACCTTAACTTTACTAATAAAAATGGAATCAAACAGCGACAATGAAAACGAAATTCCGATTTGGCAAGAACCAAGGTGTGAACCGCTCGGCGCACCAAAAGAAATTTGCGATGAAAATGAATCTGAACAGAATTCAGGCGACAGATTACATGCTTTGGAAGAAGAGCAGGAGATATTATCATCCTCTGTGTTCTCCTTGACGTCTCATTTGGCACAAGTTGAGTTTCGTTTGCGACAAATTTTGAAAGCTCCGCCAGAAGAGAAAGACGCTATGCTGAAGGCTCTCGAAGAGTTCACTTCGCGTGGAGTGTCTGATACAAGAGCAGCTCCGCAAGGAAGCTCCGGTGAAGGAGCTTGTAGCGAGTGCCTCCAATTAGAACGAAAGATAAGGCGGCAACGCTCCAAGCAGACACATTTTATTGAAAGATTAAAATCACAACTGATAGAACTGGAAAGGTTCGCTGCAAATCCCGCGACTTTGAACGACGGTAAGCACAGAAATTTTATTGAACATTTAAAAAGCGAAATAGATCAAAGTCTTGAAGAAGGATGTCCATTGAGTGCTGATGAACTAAGACATCAGATCAATTGTGCTGTTCGCCAGTATGCCGACCGGCAATTATCAAAAGATGAAATCATAACCAAACTCCAGGCTCACATAGAGGACATGCAGAAGTTTATAAAATTGATGAAAAATGAACAAACTCAAGAAAAATCTAAAACGGACCCTAAAAATGTAAAATCTGAGAAATTCGAGAAGACATTCAATAGAAATAAAAATAATGATGACCTAAGAACTGAAACCATAAACTTAATGAGAAAAGCTTCTACATTAATACAGATATTTACAGTTTCCCAGTTTGGATGTTCACCAAACACAGATAGGAGATATGAAAGAAAGTCCTCTACTATTGTCACCCATTGGGGTAATTTAAGAGCAAAGCTAGAGATGTCCATAGATGCAGTATTGCACTTAGTATCTAGAGAGAGACCATCCCACATTATGATTGATAGTTATGACAGTGATTCTGATGAAGGAGGAATGATTATAAATGATGCACCCCTAACAACAGCTGTACGGCGACACTTAGCCATCAATCTTCGGGACTTATTACAACATGGGCTAGTGGGTCCAGAGTCGAATTCTTTAGTACCTCTAATAGGATGCTTTCCTGTACGCAGATCCTCATCCTCTCGTTGTTTGCATATATGGGATTTAATTCTTCGCTATTATGAGTTCAATGACGGTGACCACTTCAACTCCACTCCGGCTAGGAAGTTAAGTCAAAGTTTTAACTTGGATATTGTTGGAGGCAGTGCTATAACAAGTAAACAGAGTTTATTAAGTGCAATTGGAAGTATATTGGCATCACATGCTCCTTATAAAAGAAGTTATGATGCCCATTTCAAAGCCTTTGTCTGTGCAGCTTTGAATAAACATAAACTAGTTACTTGGCTGAACATAATGTTAAAATGCCGGTCTCTTGTTGATTCGTATTATTCATCAACAAGTTACATTGTAAATACAGGCTTCCAAGATGCCTTGCAAAGTCTGGATCGTTTGACTCCATACAATTTTGATTTGCCAGTAGATCTGGCTGTCAAGCAATTTCAGAATATCAAAGATGTATTTATGTAATTCTAAGGGTAAACTTTTATACATAATCATTCCTTAAGATGCCTTCCAGTTAGAATGTGCTAAGAATTATCTGCATACATTTAATCTATGATGGAACTTGATCTGGTTGTTCTATTCAATCATTTGAATTTTAAAATTTTTCAAAATACAGATCTGTATAGCTCTCTAATGAAAATTTCTTTTTTCAAACAAAATAATATGTATATACACATTCCACAGAAGAATATAATAATTGTGATATGTTAAAACCAACCAAAGAGAACTTAGTCACTATGTAAGTTCATAGTTAAGTATATCTAGTTATTGCTAAAATAAATATTTAGTTGCATTAAAAATCTTGCTTTATTTTTTCTAAAATCATTAACCACTTTGATTTCTGCAAGCATAAACATAACTAAGAATACGTTTACTTAACATCTACTGTCAAATGAAATCATAAGCCTAACATACTGCTAAATATCCTAAACTATTGTCAGTTCTTTAGGTGTTCAAATAAACAGCTGTCTCAACATTGCAACAGGAACATAAAATACTTAGCAGAGAAATAGGCAGGATTGTGGCACCTTTCCCACCCCATAGGTATTGCTTACTACCTCACAAACATTTGTGGTTCGATGTTTAAACGAAGATCACATTCATCATGGAAGCCATTCGTGAACATGTGAAAAGCCCCTACAAGAATTTTCAAACAACAAACTTTCAAACTTTCTTTCTTCAGAAAATCTAATTTCATCACCCCATGCGATAATTAACGTTTATCCTCTAAATTTGATCTAAAGGATGCATTAGACAATGGACTTAAGAAAATGGCTCACACACATTCGCATTATTCATAGAAGAATTAAATAAAACCAATTATTGTATGTAACGATTTAATAAAACATCTTTCTGAACTGAAAATTGGAGACAATCACAAAGAATATGGTAGGGACACTTTTAAACAAAAATAAAACATCCCACACCGTTCATTATGGTTCAAAATACAGTAATCTGAGATGACATTCTTCGACATAATTTACAAGACATTCTCATATACTCAAAGTTCTTCAAGTAAATGCTGAACACATTAACATATTGCTTCGCACAATACTGAGAGCAAGTGTGTTGTAATCAGCTATAAAATATGCAAATAACAATTTAAACTGACATCAAAAACACATAAATAGAACTTAATAAAAATCAAAATATACAATTTCATTTAATTAAACTTCTATGGGACCGATCTTCAAATGATTTTTTTGCAGATATTTAAAAAAAAATACAATCGATCCTAACAAGTAAATAAATATATTTTTTATAAATTACCAAGTTCGGAGTTGATAACAATAATAAATATAGAGAGATAAAAAACAGAGTGAGAATCTATAATATGTTTTTTTTAAAGTGATTTGTGAAAGTGAAGATTTTGTGCTATCTTGACTTTATTTTTAAAGACGTTTCACAAAAATGATTGTATAGACGTTCCTTAATTACTCTAAAAAAATGTCATTTAAAATCTGATTACAACACAACGTGTGACATCGTCTTCTCGCATTAAAACTGTATAATCTCAAAACTTACTAATTTTACAGGAGAGTGTTTTAAAGGTTTAACATGTGATATTTTTAATATTAATCATCTTTGCAACATTTATTTTCATTTTTTACCAGTTACATTATCTTTCTTTTAATGTAAGATAAAATTATGTATTAATTTTGTTAATACTAGTCAAAACATAGGTAAAATAAACAAACAAAAAAACTAAAACTAAACTACGCTCTTTTGACAGTATTTATGAGAAAAATACTGGTTATACCAAATGTTTACGCATATTAACTCAATTTCGATTTTTTTATTTATTGCTTAGATGGGTGGACGAGCTCACAGCCCACCTGGCGTTAAGTGGTTACTGGAGCCCATAGACATCTACAACGTAAATGCGCCACCCACCTTGAGATATAAGTTCGAAGGTCTCAAGTATAGTTACATTGGATGTTGTACTGTATAGTGTAATGTATTGTATTGTATAGTGCAGCGGTCGGGGAACTTTTTTAATTATTACCCCAAAATATTTTTGTGTAAGTTGATATAACTGCATGGTGAAGAACCAAAAAAAAACGAAATCGCTTCTTTTTAGTATCTTTCATATTATAGCCCCCATGATAATTTGGAAAGGAAAACAATAACCAAAAATTTAACCATTCTAAAGAAGTTTCACGTGAATTTATACTTTTTACTCACAAAAGTTTCATTTTTACCCCCCAAAATTTCATTTTACCCCATTTGGGGTAATGTACACCGGTTCCCCGACCGCTGGTATAGTGGATATTGTGCACTTTTAATGCGAAAAGACGACATGTTTGATTAGCGTATAATCTACTTGGGTCCGAGCATGTCTTCGGGTTTGACCCACTGGTCGAACTGCTCGGCGGTGAGGATGCCCAGCTTGATCGCGGTATCCTTCAGGTTTCCGCCCTCCTTGTGCGCGGTCTTCGCGATTTGAGCCGCCTGTCGACATACAACACATTGCTTGTATAATTGTATCTATCTTTCTTTTTATTTGTTGACACTACCATCTGTCAGTACAGGTAACATAGATGCCATTTTAGATTCTATTGTTTATTGGCGGGGCTTATACTGTATGTTAAAGGAATCTTTTGAATACCGGATTAGATAAGATAAAAGTAGCATTTTCTAGTACATAGAATAATAAATCGGTATGCGGTAGGCAGCGGCTTGGCTCTGCCCCTGGCATTGCTGAAGTCCATGGGTGACGGTAACTACTCACCATCAGGTGGTCCGTATGCTCGTTTGCCTACATGGGCAATAAAAAAATAAAAAAAATTCGAGATATTTCTCATAAACATGTTATTTTTCATGCTATTGTTTAATCTATATTCTATGATGTTCCGTTAAAACTACTGAACCACGCATCCGATTGACTTGAAACTTGGTATCCATGTAGAAAATACATGTACTTAATGTATAGGATAATATTTATATGAGTGTTGGACTCCCAAATAATAATGACAATAAATAATAATGTTAATTTTAAATGCCCAGCGTGTCGGGCCAGTACAGCTAATAGACGATAAAAGTTACAAAAAATTAAATACACAAAATGTGTTTAGTACTTTCTACGGTATCCGCGAGTCGTAAACACAATCAAAATTGCTCGTACGAATTAGTCTCAATATTTCAATTTTATTATTTCGCTACATTTGATTATTGAGTTTCTTGCCAATTCTTCTCGGGACGGAGGCTAGTTCTTTTGACGTTCAACAAGTATGTACTTTCATTTATGTTGAATAAAAATTTTTTGATTTGATTTGATTTGATTGTGCTAATTGCCGTCTTCTATACAAGTACATTTATTTTCACACAGAAAGAACTAATCTTGGTGTCGCGCGGTTTGTTTGATTTTGGTTTTCATCTTCGCGATAAGAGTATCCAAAGTGTTAGAGATAGACGCCAAGCAACTTTTCCATTAATTATAGGTTTTTTTTTTGTTTTTTTTTTTAATGCTTTCGCGTACTGTTCGTGGAGTTAACTTGATTTCTCTAACAACTGCCCTTAAAAGAACTCGAATAAACGCAGCGGGTCCACTTTTATTTTTGGAACGAAGTTCCCTTATGGGACGACGCCGAGGGGTACCCTAGCCGGGAAAAAACGTCCGTAACGTAAGATTTTTATTAGTAATGCACACATTAACTTTGTAATAACGTACAAAAAATAACATATTTTTGATCATTCATTGACCGCGTTCGTTTGCGCAGTACACTAACTCTTATGCAATCACGTTTGTGGTCTATAATTATTCATTATCTTAAAGCAAAAGTAGCGCAAATTTTCAACAAACGTTTAGTAATAGTTTTCAGTAAAAATAAGAGAAAACACATTATTTTCGTTGAAACTATGTAAAAATGTCGCACTCTGATTTCTGCAAAAGTAAACTAAGCTATTTACGTAGAAACAAAACTAGATTTGACATTTAGAAATGAAACCTTGTAGATGCCTTTAAATCTAGAAACGGATTTTAGATCTAGAGACAGAATTTAGATGGAGGTATCTACGCTTTGCATTTCTACACTTTTAAAGGTGTCGGCTTAAACTTTTTAACATGATCAAATGCTTTTAAAGGTACTTCAATGGGATCTACAATATCAACATGGCGCCGCCCCATATTATAATGAACGTGACGATTTATCCGAGTCTGATGAGTTTATATGAGATGTGAAAGAGAAAAAAACAATTGACAAAACGTAATCTTATTATTACCATTCATTAAACCACGCCAAACAAAATTCACATATGATTAAATCTACTCAACGCAAACGGGCTAATATCAAAACCCGGTTTTTTGTCCCCAGCAAAGAACGCAGCGATTTCGCCGAGCACACTTGTAAATTTAAAACCGTGGCCGCTCAGACCGGTCACTAGCATAACGTTCTCCGAACCAGGCAGGGTGTCGATTATGAAGTCTTCGTCCGGACTCATGTCGTAGCTGCAAGTCTTGCCCTCCAAAATTCCGCCAGTGTTCGGCAAGAAGCTCGTTATAAAATTCAGCGTCTCAGTTCTGTCTCCTTCGCGACTCCCAAATGGGGTCAATTCGTCCCTCGAACTGATATTTTGACCTCCGCTGTGCTTCGCAATTTTAAAGCCGTTTTCATCAGCCGGGAAACCGTAAAAGAAATCCTGCTCCAAGTTTACCAAAAAACCTGGTATATTGTTGTAACACGGGTCCGCAGCGTACCACGTCAAAACTTTTCTCACAGGCGATATAGGCAGATTGGGTAGTAAGTCCTTAACCCACGTTCCTGCCGAGACAAGTGCCTTACGACCCTTGAAAGTGCCTTTTTCAGTTTCGACAACAACTTCATTTTCAGTCGGTGTCACGGACGAGACTTTGCAGTCGAATATTTGATGAGCCCCAGCTTCCTTTGATAGCTTGACGTAAGCATTTACAGCTAACTCCGATCTCAAGAATCCCGCGTCCGGCTCAAAGACCCCGACGTAATCCCCGGGAACCTGAATGCCGTTCCAACGTTTCTTTATATCCTCAGCCGTCATATTCTCAATCTCCAATCCGTAGATCTCAGCGCTTCTGCGAGCGTTATCAATAAAACTCGAATCCCCTAGACCCGTGTTCAAAACTCCACACTTCTCGTAAATGTTTGTCTTTGTCAATTCATTCAGCTCCTTCCAGAGTTCTCTGGCTCGTATCAAGAGCGGAATGTATCTGGTGCCTTCGCCGTAAGCGCACCGCACCAGCCTGGTCGCTCCGTGGTGGCTCCCAGAGCTGTGCGGAGGCGTGTGCTCGTCCAGCATCAGCACCTTCAACCCAGATCTGGAGGCGTAATAGCCGGCAGACGAACCAACGGATCCGCTGCCCACAATGATCAGGTCATAGTGCATTTTCTCTGGGTTTTTTCTTCACTAAACCTCGATAGAATTCACAGTTCACAACTGACATTCAACAAACGAACAGATAACCGAGTATACACAGACGATAAATGTACAAAAACATTTAATAAGCTCACTGATAACGGTCGTATCAACTTGACACGTGAGATAGAGCTATCGCTGTGTTTTATGATGCGATTAAATTTACATATTCGTTTTAATGTCGCTTTTGTGATATTCGATTTACAATGATCTATGAATCGAATGCTTTAGTTGTCGACGTCACGAAGGACTGTCGTGTCGTGGGGAACAACGGACGTGACAAACGCGAGGTCAAATCGTAATTTTAATAAGAATATCGTTTATTGTTTTTCTTATCAGACTACACGTAAATAAATAAAAACGCAAATGGAGGTAGCTGAGCTGATACTGATCGTGTTTTTTTTTTTCGGCCTTGGGGCCGTATCTCCTGCGAGGTCCCCGCGTCTAGGGGGCGCACGGGTATGTGGGCCTGAACGGTCCGCAGATGTTGATGGGATGGAATTTAGGACCCTACCCGACTACCCTGCACTTTCGCCTAAGCGTCCAATTCCCCGGGTCATAAACTGGATGGGGCACGGAGAGTTACCGCAATCAACACTATAACCACTGAATCCTAGGGTTTTGAGTATTTATTATCATAAAATTAGGATAGCTTGGCAATAAAATAGGCATCAATGTGTGTGTAGTAGGTAATTAAGATAGTTCTTGTCGTTGTTGGGCGGTAGTTCCCAATAATATAATAGCCATTAACATAAAACATAAACGCTATTGCGTTCTATTTTGCATTTTTTCTCTTTATCCCAAATAACTTGAATTAACTAACGAATAACTTGACTTGACCGACTCGGTGGTGCAGTAGATAGCGACCCTGACTGTTACGCCGTAAGTAGTGGGTTGGATTCCCACACTGGGAAAACGTTGTGTGATAAACAGGTTCGTTTGTTCTTTGTTTGGTGTTAGCGATGCGTTGAATATAAATTTGGCAGTTGTGACTGGTATATTTTGGTGTTTGTTTGTTTGTCTGGTGGATTCGTTTCGTTAAAAGAAGTTAATAAAACGTTTAGCTTAGTTTTTAAATTAACAAGATCTGTAAGAGGGAGTGCGCGGGGTTCAACGAGAGGTGGGCCCTCGGACCGGTGACCTGAGGCGAGCGAGGTCAGTGCTGTTACCCAAGCAACTAACGCCGCGTGCTTCCTAACCACTAGTTTTGTCATCCGCCGCCACTATAGAAAATAAATATTTTGCTCACAAAAAACCTGTGTTAGTGCATTCCCCAAACCTACGAACCAACATAAATTACAGTCTGGGTGTTTATTATCTATATATGTATATATTTAAACTGTTTAAGTATGTTTATCAGTCTCTGGTACCCATAATACAGGGAATCCTAAATTGGGGCCAGATGACCGTACATCATTTGTTCCCAGTTATTTATTATTACTAAAAATCATGTTTTATTGTATGTATGTATTATACTATATACATACACATAAGTATACACAAAAGACATAATAAAAAAACACATAAAATAGTTTGCCATCATAGATAATGCAGCGTCTGTAGACTATTCCAGAAGGAATAACGGCAAAATTCTTGCCAATTAATATCACTGATTTAAAAAAATCTGAGTTGATCTTAAAGTCATTACTATTTGTAAGCGCGTATTGGAAGCTTTAGTCTAGGCGGTAAACGTTACAAACGTTTTAGTAAGTAACAATTAGGAATTAGAAATAGAACCAGTGTAGTGCGAAGGTATCCGCTACGCGCCGCGCGAGTTCGTTGACACCCCCATATAATCATATTAAATTTATTTTTACGGTTTCACCAGGTTTTTTTTATTATATTATTTTCAACGTTTCGAATACTTTACTTTTGCTGGTCACAGACCAGGTCAAGTCAGTTCAAGGTTACATTTCACTTCATAAATTTTATAAAATTAGAAGTGAAGTATAGGAATATTTTTTTAAAAAAAAATAACGACTGTACTTTGCTCAACATTTCTGATTTTTTCTAAAAATTTACAAAACCCCATTAAAGTAGCAAAATTATAAAAATGAGATTGATGATTGAGAAAGCGACGGGTTCGACGAGAACGATGAGCGGTGCTTGAGGTACCTAAAGTCACCGTTAGTGGACGTGTTTGTGGCGACGTCGACTGTTTTCCATTCTGTCCGCAGGATCGGGAATGTAGTTACCGGCGGCCACGATGAGTGGGTTCTCGTGTCGTGCCGCTTTACCGATTTTTAAAACCCCATTAAAGTAGCAAAATTAAAAAAAATGAGATTGATCTAAAATCATCAATATTTCAGATTGTTTTCTACGATTTTTAAAACCTCATTAAAGTATCAAAATTATAAGGATTAGACTGATCTAAAACCATGTACTTGAAGTACTTTACGTACGTACGGACAATGACCACGGAGATGCAATTGAAATATTAGCAAAGGATCCTCCCAATAGTCCGAGCAGCGCGTTACCTTGTCGTAGCCGATGTGAGGGTTGAGCGCCGTCACCAGCATCAGTGACTCGCGCATGATCTTAGCGATCTGCACTTCGTTAGCCTTGATACCCACGGCGCAGTTCTTGTTGAAGGCCTGGCAGCCGTCACCTGGTGAACAACAATATTATGAAGTGTGTATACTTATATATTATAGCATAGCATAGTATTAGCATAGTATTTAGTATACAACATAATTAATAGGTGTAATCTCGTATGTCCCCCTAATAAGGCGGACCACCCAGAAACATAGGCTTCTTCTAATTGTAAACTAGGATTAAGATGATAATTGAACATGGAATACACGCAAGAAGACGTTTTCCTTTAACACCTCCCAAAGTACAACATTACAATTATTGTAACTACTAACTGACCACATACGGTATCTTATACCTTTAAACGAGCAATTCTTGTATATTAATATATGTATATATAATCTGAATCTCGGAAACGGCTCCAACGATTTTCATAAAATTTTGTATACAGGAGATTTCGGGGCCGATAATTCGATCTAGCTACGATTTATTTTCAGAAAATGTTGTTTTATTCGTGTTTTCAATAATCAACTCTTCCCGACATCTATTGGCGAATAATAATACTATTTTTCTTAATTGAGGGCAACTAACCGCTTTAAAGACACAACAAGATGGCGTTATAAAAAAAAACGAGCAAAGCTCAGTCATCATCTAGTAATCAATTTAATGTTTGTTGTAACGTTTCTTAAAATAAATCTCAGCGAAACATTTCTTTATGTATTTATTGTTTAGATGGGTAAACGAGCTCACAGCCCACCTGATGTGGGTGGTTATTAGAGGCCATAGACACCCATCTTGAGATCTGAATTTTAAGGTCAGTATAGTTACAACGGCTGCCCCAACCTTCAAATCGAAACGCATTACTGCTTCACGGCAGAAATAGGCTAGGTGGTGGTACCTACCCGTGCGGACTCACAAGACGTCCTATCACATGTACCACCAGAAAGTCACAAATAACAGTTTTTTAAAACACCACAAACTTGACAGCGACTTGGCAGCACCCCTGACATTGCTGATGTACTTTAGCAACGGGTACCACCGTAAGCTGGTCTGCCTACAAGAGCCATAAAAAAGACACGTGAATGCTGCTCAGTTTGAGACATGAGGTCGAAACGAAGCAATTGTGAGGTTTCAATTGTATCGCTTGCCTTTTCGAAAAAGAAAACTTTGCGGCAGATACAGGCTTGAGACTCTCTACGTATCGGCTTTTTTATGATTAAAGGATTACTGGTGGCCCGGAGTCCTTTCCCCTTTCCCTCTCACCAGGACAGGTGGGCGAGCAAAAGCTCAGCCAGGAGGGGTGGGATTTGCTAACAGCTGCCCGAGCGCCTCCGAAGGAGACCTGACAACTCAAGAGCAGTTGCTACGCAAATGAATCTACTACCGGATCGGAATCGCGACCCGCTGAGAAGATCCGGCGGTACACTCAGCGAGCTAGTGCATGGGTTCCTAAGCCTGCTCCTAGTGTTAGAGTTGAAGGCGTCTATGTAAAGGTAATTAAATCTGATGGATCCGTAAGGACGTGTCTAGGGCATTAACAGTGACTGTGGCTCCTGCGCGATCAGGATTCGGGGAGTAGTCAGCGGCGGCAACGATAAGGCGACACGTATCGGTATTTAATCTAGGCAAGTAACTATACTTGAGACCTTAGAACTTCGTTGTAGATGTCTTTGGGCTCCGGTAACCACTTAACACCATGTGGGCTGTGAGCTCGTCCAATTAAAAATAAAAATAGATATAAGGTATTGGTCAGGGAATGTTCTAGACCGACCGATGAGCCGTATGGATCGTAGCACGTTGGACACGATCATGGGCTTGAACACGTTGAGCTCGAAGTGTCCGTTGCTGCCGCCCACCGTGCACGCCACGTGGTTGCCCATCACCTGCGCCGCCACCATCGTCAGCGCCTCGCACTGCGTCGGGTTCACTTTACCTAGAAACGAAACACCAGCTGTTAATACAACGTACCCTTCTTCCTACACTACGCTGAGCCGTGTGCTCGCGAGGTCGTTAACCTCAAATGTTATATTACAACACCCCCCCCCCTCCCGCACTCAGCTGCGCCGCGTGCTCGCGAGGTCATTAACCTCAGACGTAACCTTATTTTGAACTCACTATATTACGCCCTCTACTAAAAATCTTAATTTAACACAAACAATACAATACATGATTATGTCGTAATTCTCTAAGCCATTTTAAGCCAGTTTTTTTTTTATTGCTTAGATGTGTGGACGAGCTTACAGCCCACCTGGTGTTAAATGATTACTGGAGCCATAGACATCTACAACGTAAATGCGCCACACACCTTGATATATAAGTTCTAAGGTGTCGGTATAGTTACAGCGGCTGCCCCACCCTTCAAGCCGAAACGCATTACTGCTTCACGGCAGAAAGAGGCGGGGCGGTGTGACCTACCCGCGCGGACTCACAAGAGGTCTTACCATGTCATGTGAAGATACTTTACTGTATAATGATGATGATATTAATTTATCCCTAATGGGAAAGGCGACGGACTTTAGTCCATACAGCCAGGTCTTGTTCCTTTACTGTATAAGCTTGAATGACGTACGGGGGAGGGCACTAGACATTAAAGATGGCGTGTGTGAATACTTGCGTTTCAATACAGTAATCCCAACAACCATAACTAAGTAAATAAAGTTATTACATACCACCAGTGTAGTGTCAACTGACCGGGCATTATCGAGGATCCGGGTTCGTTCTCGGGCAACATCAGCTCGGCGAGTCCGCAGCGCGGCCCGGAGGCGAGCAGTCGGATGTCGTTCGCGATCTTCATGAGCGACACGGCGATGGTGTTGAGCGCGCCGGAGACCTCCACCATGGCGTCGTGGCACGCCAGCGCCTCGAACTTGTTCGGCGCCGTCTCGAACGGTATACCTGAAAATACAGGCAGAGTTATATATAAGATGAGCTGAATCTAGCTTACGACAGATTCAAAATAAGCTTATATATGAGGCCATCAGCATAAAAGTGGCCTAACCCACAATTTTTCAAAATTGGTTCTTCTAAATTGCAATTTTGGCCGGCTTTGTAAATATTATTTTCGCACGTATTGTTTTTGCCTACGAAGCAGTGTAAAAGTAAATTCAAACCTCGATATCTCCATACTAACTATGGTAAGCTTAGGTCACTTTTACGCTGACGGCCTCATATACAAGTTCCGAACAACAACATCCGGACCGTCAGTCTATCGAGCAATATCACCCGCTCGGTGGTTTTTTATTTTATTTTATTTTTCCCTACCTATTCTAGTAACCTCGAGGGGTTATTCTAGATTCACCAAGCTAGTAGGTGAGCTCAAACCGGAAGTGTTGTTAACACTGGCCCTAGCAAGAACTGTGCTTCGCAGAATCTACCGCAGGATCGGAAACGCGACCCACTGAGAAGATCCGGCGAGAAACTCAGTGGGCTGTGTGTATGGGTTAGCACTCGCTGGGAAGACTCAATGTCGTTATCGGACATGTCAAAACTATACAAGAATTATTTTTTATGTAATACCGGTTGTAATATATTTGTTCTTGGAACAAATGACAATCATTATGATCGAGCGTACATTTCTATTCGTATTTAATCACATGTTGAGTCTGATAGAAAATACACTTAATATTTTAGAGTTGAGTCTTACATTTTTCAATTACGACGTAATGAATATAGCGGATAAGTCAAAGACTATATTTCGTAAAGTGGTCATCAAAGCTTAATGCGATGAGATGCGACATTAGGTCGCGTACATGCCACACCGGTGGTAGATCGTGTTTGGTCTATTTGTTTCGTCAACCAAACACGGATATTTTAAGAGTCTGACTGTTAACACTGTAGCCTCTTAGGCCATAAACATCTGCATTCGTATCGAGCGATGCGACTTCCACGGCGAAGATAAAAACTAAAGCCGCAAAAAAAAAAACTAATTTGCGTAATGGTGAATCGAGTTTTAAGTTTTGGGTATTATCACCGCCCTGACCTATTTCGTGTTAGAGTTTCGTATTAGAATTCGTGTCTAAAGGTGGATGACGGCATTTACATTGTTGAAATCTATAGGCTCCAGTCACTAAACACTGGATGGAAAAAGAACACGACTCGCCTGTGATGAGGATTGTCGAGTTATGAGCATCAAGAATGAGATAGGGCTGAATCGTTGCCTCCCGCTTGTGAATGAAACGACTATTGCGGTCCCCTGCGACGTTCACGAGTACATCCTAACTTAATCAACCCTAGTTTCTCACCGGGTCTCCTCGGTAGATTCAATGAAGCGATGCTCTTACTAGGGCTAGTGTTAACAAGTTCTTCCAGGCTGAGGCCATCAAGTGGGCGACCGAATAGGAATAGCGGTGTTGTACGGTTTGTCCACACTACTCTCTGTTGTGATAATGATAACAACTCCAATATTGAGTAATTGTTTATTGATATGCTTACTGTTTATATCAGCGGTCGGGGAACCGGGGTAAATTACCCTAAACGGGGTAAAAAGAAATGTTGGGGGGTAAAAATGAAACTTTTGTGAGTAAAAAGTATATATTGAAGTGAAACTTCTTTAGAATCGTTGTGATTTCAAACTCGATGAAACGTAATGAAACGAAACGAAAAAATAAGTCCATAGAGACAGAAACACATAAATTTATAGGATTCAGCCGGCGAGAGAATGAGATAGAACACATTATTTGGAAATACAAAGTTCACGTGATTGACCCAGGTATTTTATTGTAGGCATCGCCGACAAATCTTCGCCATGGGGTAATATCAACTTACACAAAAATATTTTGTGGTAATAATAAAAAAAGTTTCCCGACCGCTGGTTTATATGATAAAAATGCCATTATGCGAGTACGCGACGCCTTGCTGATTGATGGCCGTACACGAACAGATTCGAAAATGAATGACTTTGATGTAAAATGCATCGGTATGCAATAGGATGTGCGCGCTGGCCCGTACATGCTCCCGGGCCTGAATGATGAGGTGTAATAACAAAGTGAAAAAACAATAAAATTTTACTTAATACTATTGGCATGCATAGATACTACATTCGATCTTCGACGAATGATATAACGGACCGTAGCACTGGTGATGAGGCTTTGTCCACTTTATTACGTGTGCTTACACTTTCGGGATTTTTTTTATCTAACTCTTTTGATAGCCTTGAGAGGCTATATCAGCTTCGCCCTAACGTGTAGATGAGCTCACGGGGCTCAAACCGGAGTGTTACTAACACTGGTCCTAACAAGAGCAGTGCTACGCAGAATCTACCACCGGATCGGAAACGCGACCCACTGAGAAGATCCGGCGAGAAACTCTGTGAGCTGTGGTCTGTGGGTTAATTCGCTCGTCGAGCCGTTCGTCGCAAGCGCTGGATTCGACGAGAACGGTGACCGGGTTTCGGGATGATACACGAACAAACACATAGCATATTATTGACATTAGGTATAGGTGTGTAGGTACCGGTGAGCGCGGCGATCTCGGCGGCGCACTTCTCCGCGAAGCCGATCCTGGTGTTGAGGCCGGTGCCGACGGCCGTGCCGCCCAGCGCCAGGTAGTGCAGGCGCGGCAGCGTGGCGCACACGCGCTCCACGCCGTACGACAGCTGCGCCGCGTACCCGCTGAACTCCTGGCCCAGCGTCAGCGGCACCGCGTCCATCAGGTGGGTCCTGCACGCGACACAACGACAGAATTTTATTTTTTCATTCCTCTTTAATATCTACTATCCTATCTACGATAATGTTACGCCAGTTAAAGTAACGCCATCTATCACCTAATAGTCGAACGAATATCAAAGGATCTAGAACGCTCGAAAAGTACAACGCCATTTATTGACAGATAACGGAAACTACCACCAGAGATGTGTAGAGCATTCTCGATAATTACAGGGATGAGGTATCTGCTATAAAAGCGTTCTAGGGATGGCACGCAGTCAGTCAGTAATCGGAACTACTCGAAGCGAAACAGCGAACGGATCACCTGAAGCGAAGCGGAACAAGCGAATTTAGAGTTTTAAAGTTTGTTGAGTGTTTGTGAATTGTTTAAGTGTTTTAAGTGTTCAATACAGTTTTTAAGTTGTACTTTGGTGAAATTTTATTTATCCCGAACCCCAGTACGTAACAATACCTACAATCTAGTATCCTGTACTTTTATCATTATTTTTTGTATCAAACACTGCCTCGCCCCGGAAGACGGCAGGACACACTCCGGCGAGGTGGCCAACAATCGGCCGAAATTTTCATTATTATTATTTTATTGCTTAGATGGATGGACGAGCTCACAGCCCACCTGGTGTTGAGTGGTTACTGAAGCCCATAGACATTTACAACGTAAATGCGCCACCCACCTTGAGATATAAGTTCTAAGGTCTCAATATAGTTACAACGACTGCCCCGCCCTTCACGGCATTACCGCATTACTGCTTCACGGCAGAAATAGGCAGGCAGGGTGGTGGTACCAACCCGTCCGGACAAAATTAGATGCGTCGAAATTCATTACGTAGTCAAAAAGATTAGACTCTAGCGAACCATCTATTCTAAATTTAAGGTTTGTCATTTTACTTTAAGACATCTTTTCTCTTGAGACAATGTCCAGATGTCTGTCTGTTCTTTTCAATTATTTATATCGATTTTTTTATTTCTCTAGATAAATCGACAAATTGACGGTTCCTTTAGTCAGAAATGGCTACCAAAAGCTACCTTGAGAACTAGAGATCAAACATATTTTGAAGTCGTCGTGGCCTAAAGGATAATACGTCCGGTGCATTCGTCGTCGAATCCCGCAGGCGGGTACCAATTTTTCTAATGAAATACGTACTCAACAAATGTTCACGATTGACTTCCACGGTGAAGGAATAACATCGTGTAATAAAAATCAAACCCACAAAATTATAATTTGCGTAATTACTGGTGGTAGGACCTCTTGTGAGTCCGCGCGGATAGGTACCACCGCCCTGCTTATTTCTGCCGTGAAGCAGTAATGCGTTTCGGTTTGAAGGGTGGGGCAGCCGTTGTAACTATACTCGAGACTTTAGAACTTATATCTCAAGGTGGATGGCACATTTACGTTGTAGATGTCTATGGGCTCCAGTAACCACTTAACACCAGGTGGAATGTGAGCTCGTCCACTCATCTAAGCAATAAAATAATAATAATGATAATTCCGGCCGATTATTCGAACGAACGCTCGCGCTGGCCTATAACATGTATATTACGCGTGTGCGTTCAAGTGCCACGTATTCACTATCGCTCTGTCTCTTTCTATTCCCCCTTCCCAGGAGCGTTAAACGTTTAACACAACCTTGTTAGAAGTCGCATTAGAAGTTTCACTTCAATAACACATGTTTTTCACAAGCTTCTCCACGAACCTTCCAATTTTGACGATCCTCTCAAAGTCCTTGCTCTTGGCCTGCAGCGTGTCCCTGAGGGCCACGAGGCCCGGCATGAGCCTATCCCGGAGCTCCATGGCCACGGCAATGTGCATGGCCGTGGGGTACGTGTCGTTCGAACTCTGAGACTTGTTCACGTGGTCGTTGGGATGCACCGGGTCCTTGCTGCCCAGTTTCCCGCCCAGTATTTGTATGGCGCGGTTCGCTATCACCTGAAGTATCGATGTAATTATTTTTTTATAGCAATCAAGCCTATGACAGTTATGAAGTCTATCAGCAAATACAAGAGATTTGACAAAGTCATTAAACTTACAAAAATCTCAACACACCATAAAATGGGGGGAGAATCGGGACACTTTTTAAGTTCGACATTGATTTTTATCGTTGTTTTTTTTTTATAGTTATAGTAATAAAACGAAGATCATAATGATTCTGGTAGTTTAAATTTTCATTTATAATGCATTAAGATATAGTTTATGTCCCTATTCCCCCAAGCGTTGGAATGAATCGGGTCGCTTAAGGGGTTAATAGTTTTTCGATAGGTCTGTCACTATTTAGTTGTTAGGTAGGTACCCAACTTTAGGTAATTAATTTAATAATATCTTTAATGAGTTACAAAACTTTGATTACTAAATTAAACTAATTAATATTCTTAAGCACTAAATAAGTCATCTTTAGTTCAACAAAGTTAAATCTCTAACAACTCAATTATGACATCCCAGATTTGTCCCTATTCTACCTCTAGTCCCTATTCCCCCCAATCTTTTGTAATACAAGTTCTAGATAACAACATCTATCATCGACAATGTGCCGAGCACTGATGAGAGAGTAATTTCCTGTTATTGTTAAACCCTTGGTAAACCCTAAAAAATTGGACCCTCTAGCGGCATGCCATCCCGGGGGCTCGTGCACATGACCCCTTGAGGTCGGTGATTCGAACACATCGAATACTCATTTAAAAAAAATGGCTCTCGCAATCTTCGAACCAGAACACAAAGGATTGCTTCGCGGAATGATGAGGCATGATTGTGTCCGTAGGGTTCAGCACAAGCCCAGTGTCAACTGCTAACACAATTTTATGTAACGTTTGGACACATTTGATACGTTTAGTGATGTGGTGTTAGAGTCAAGTATATTTTTTGTGAATTCAGTCATTTCTTTTATTTTTTATTTGCAAATTAAATAAAAATACTCTAAATACTATTTATTAACCACAATTAAAAACCTTGTTTTTTTTTAACTTGGCCAGTTAAAGAAACAAAGATATCAGTGGCTCGGTACAGCCCGCACCTCACCTCGTTCGTGTTCATGTTGGACTGAGTACCGGAGCCGGTCTGCCAGATGACGAGGGGGAAGTGACCCTCGCGGTAGAGCTTCCCGCTGATGACGTCATCGCAGGCCTGCATGATCGCGTCGGCTGTAGAGGCGTTTTTCTAGATCATTCGACGCTCGAGAGAGAAACGTAAGCGAGCATTGAAACTTTAGTGGAGTTCTTAATGCGCAAGGAGCTATTTAGCCGCAAAAACCGACACGAATCGACATGACTCTCAATAAGCAGTATCACCAGCAATACTCCTTACACATTTCAAAGCATCTACAGTGCTAAAAACAAAAATGCGTAATGTGCGTCTATCATTATCAGATATCCACTGCTGGAATTAGGCCTCCCCAAAGTTCACAACTACGACTCCATACGCGGCAGCTGCATCCAGTGGATTGCCATGCATTTGTAGGCAGCGGCTTGACTCTGCCCCTGGCATTGCTGAAGTCCATGGGCCACGGTAACCACTCACCATCAGGTGGACCGTATGCTCGTCTACCTACAAGCGCAATAAAAAAAATCCATCTTTGAGGTCACAGCTCGAAAGTTTTTGAACCTCATCAGTCTATGAGTCTAGTCTCATCAGTTATACGAACAAGTTTTCCTGTGTGCTTAGAGCGAGTTTTTTAACATACAAATATGAGTTAACTTTCACGCTATCGAGAACGTTAAAAAACTCGCACTCAGCACACAGATCGAGTCCAAAGATATCGAAGCTCTGAGTATAGCCTTTTCTCTTTGGATAGCTTTGAACTTTCTGGTAAAGCCGCATTACAAATGACCACGTCTCACACATATATATATTTGGGTGCAAACCGTCATTATTGGCAATAATTAACATGATTTATAATTTAGTTTAATCTATGTTATTGTTTATTTTTTATCAGTAACATGAAAGTGTTATTCTACAATATTTAATATTTAGTAGACACTGTTTTGATGTGAAAACGTTTAAGGTTTCATTTATTATTTAAAAACACAAATGACTGTCAAAATATAATACTCAAATATCTAAAGCATAAAATGGAAAATATAAATTATGTTATAATTAAAATTAATACTTTAAGTATTGTAATTTTTTGTGAAAAGAATTGTAATATTTTTATAAAGTTTCGCAATTATTGTATTGTATTAACTGTGTGTACACTAAAAAATAAAATAAAGAAAAAACTTGTAATTTTTTATGCAAATCATGTTGTTGGTGCCATCTATTATCAGACTGAATAATGATAATATAATGATAATATTTGTTTATCTTAAAAGTAAGTTAAGTAAAATAGATTCATGTCAGAGTCGTGTAAAATACACGAAAATATTTATTCTGAATATTAAGCTACATTTCATGATTTGTTTCGCAGTAATTCCATTTGTTTGTGTATGACAAGTTGTAGTTGCTAAGAACCATCACAAAATGACTAATTATGTAAAAATTAAGACATGGCTTTAGGTTTTTTCCACGCAATGTTAACGTTGCATTGTATTTTCGGTGTAATAGAACTTACGTGTGAAAAACCTTGGCGTGTCGTCGACATACGTATATCATGACAATAAAAAACGCTAGCCAAATACTTTCGTCTTTTTTTTTTATTGCCCTTGTAGACAGATGAGCACACGGCCCACCTGATGGTGAGTGGTTACCGTCGCCCAAACTTCAGCAATGCCAGGGGCAGAGCCAAGCCGCTGCCTACCGCTTAATGCTCTCCACAAGCCTCGTTTGAAGAAGGACATGTCATAGCGCTCGGGAAACTCGGTCTTGAGACCCTACGATATTAGGAATGAGAATATTCTGCACAAACAAAATATATTTTTAAAATATAAAAAATTCAAATGTATTTTTTTTGTGTTATTATATTTATAGCACTTGGTTTCCTAAAATACTTTACATACACCCTACCACTGTACCCCACCACGCACTATATAATAAAGGATTAAAGTTTTGTTTTATTGAGCTTCGAACAAATATTAATTAGCAGTACATACCAATTTTCTTTTCAAGTCCATATTCGATATTGACTTTGGCGGCTGCTTTCTTTAGTATACCGAAAGCGACAATTACGGGATACTGAAAAAAAAAAACATTCATAATTAGCTTTTTACGTGACGTCACAGATAATAGGAAACACAAGAACTGCGTTATCATGTCGATAAGTTAACAGATCAACCTTCCTTAAAGTATTACTCTACCAACGAACCAATTTTTTTTAATTGCTTATATGAATGGATAAGATCACGGCCTACCTGGTATTAAATGGTTACCGGAGCCCATAGACATCTATAATGTAAATACCGCCACCCATCTTGAGACAAGAGTTCTAAGGTCTCATTTGTTACAGTACGTCTGCCCCACCCTTCGAACCGAAACGCATTACTGCTTCACAACAGAAATAGGCAGGGCGGTGGTACCCAAAACCTCAAACTCTCATCATTTCATTTATCGAACCAAAAACCAATACATTGACTTGACCACATTCGAACATATTTCATAAGCTAGTACCCAATTTGATAACATTTTAACCATACATTCGTAATGGCGGCTCCAATGTCGCAATGTTGCATAACCCCGTTGTTTCACTTTCATACGAAAACGTGCTGTTATTTCCTACGTAAATTCAGTAGTACTTTAATAATTGATGGGTTTTTTTTCTTCAGATGAGCAGCAGGTGGACAGCCCACGTGGTTAACAAATGGTCATTATTTTCTTTTTTCCTTATCTATTCTCTGGTAGCCTAAGGGGCTATACCAGAGCGGACAGATAGGTGAGCTCACGAGCTTAATCTGAGAGAATTTGCTAACACAAGCCCTAGCAAAAGCAGTCCTTCGTAGAATCTACCGCCGAATCGGAACCGCGACTCGCTGAGAAGATCCGGCGAGAAACTCAGTGGGTTGTGCCTATGGGATAGTTATAGGAGACTATATACATTACAATGCAAATGTCGTCACTCAACTTGAGACAAGCCGTTGAAATCGGTGTGCATCACTGCTTCGCAACAAAAATAAAAAGTAGATCTAATCGTGCGGGTTTGTGTTACAAAGCAAACACTTAGGAATTATCGGAGTATCGGTATTGATAATAACAATAATAAGCCTTTAATGCTGTTTTACTTACTAATTATTAACTTAATAAATTACTTAATAATAAATTAAATCTCAATTCAACTTATAATTAAATATTCCATTCGGCGTTCGTTGTGGTTTTCAAAACAGCTTGTCTCTCTCAAAGGCCTCCTCTAAAGATTGCCAATATTCTCTATTTTTGGCCATTTGGCCGGTATTGATAATAACATAGCGAAATATTGAACACTTAAGTCAAATTATACAATTTCCGGTCGCTCACAAAGGCTGGTAACAATGCTTGACGTGTGCAATTATCAGGGTTCACTGTTTAAAAATAGACGTACTGACCGCATTCAACCTTGAAGTCGGTAGTAACTGGTGGACTGCTGCATCGCAAGATCCGCGTTCGATTCCCCGTCAGACTAAAGGGCTTTAGACACTCAACGAAACATAAGAGGGGCGAAAATGGGTGGGGCAGTTTTACTTTTTTTGTCTTGTGATTCAACCTAGTGACTTGTAATATTTAAAATGTGTAATAATTTATCATTATAAGTTCCCCCCTATAGTTTTATACATACGATTTTATCCACAGCTGTTTGTTACGAGTTCACACAGAGGTCAGTCTTATCTTAGTATCAACACAGTACGATATTACTGTATTGTTTGAACAAGACAACCGTATATATTGTTGAATGAACAACCGTTGATAGCTCATTGATGTGAAAAAAATTGAGTTGTCCTTTGATTCCTTTCAAGCGTGATATCAGTAACTGGTAGAACAAAAGTAATGAGGAATAATTAGGTAAAATCTTTCGTCCTTTGAAAGTCTTTCGTGAAAATTATATGGACGTCGTTCGAAGCTAGCCGATTAGTCGTGTCGCAGTTTATAAAGAGAAAAAAGTTAATACTTACAGGCATGCGTTCCTCAATTCCACCGATCGGGAAGTTCATCACCGAACGCACGGTCTGCGCGCCATATAACTTGTCATCTGGCACGTCCAACTCCCCAAAGGTATCTTTTTCCTTCCTCTAAAATTTACAAACAAGCATTTTCAATGACTGAATCCGATCCGGCACTAAGTCATGTATGGGCATCCACCTTACCATCGTGATACACAATGAAGTCGTGCAGTAAAGACCAACTCGCTACGTTCCAAGTTTTTATTTATTTTTTATTGCATAGACGGTCCGAGGAGCTCACAGCCCACCTGGTGTTAAGTGTTTACTGGAGCACATAGACATCTACAACGTAAATGCCGTCACCCACCTTGACGTATGAGTTCTAAGGTCTCACAGTATAGTTACAACGGCTGCCCCATCCTTCAAACCTCAACCTTAATGGATCGGGAGGGAAAGTATTTGAGTTATGTAAACAACACAACTTGTTCGTAAAAAAACATGATTCTTAATACACCATTGTAGTAGAAAAGGCGATTTGAGTCGGATTATCGTTTGAATGCCTTTTACTTTTTACTGTATAATTAAGACTCCAGTGTGTATTTAAGCTTTTATAAGCCCGTCTATATTTATTTTACTTTAACCTGTTTTATTAATCGATTTTTTTTAATAATTACTTTTAATTATTTATTTCTTTCATCTTTTACTTTATTCAATTACGAATAAATCATAATTAAAATAATTTTAACGGTTTAATCTCGCGTTTTTAAATTGTCATCATATTATTTTTTACGTTTCGAATAATTACTTCGCAGTTTTTGTGGTCAAGCTCATCTATACTGCGAATGTAAATGAAAAAAAAACATATTTTACTCAAGGCTGGAATAAAAAAATATCTAGAATACTATATTATTCTCTAGAACATTCGAGTCATCGGCCGTGGTCGCCAGCGCATTAGGCTGTTGTCTATCTGTGACTAGAATCTCAATGTAGATTGTGCCAGCGTCAATACATACGTGATAAGGTATAAGATAAGTTATAAGTTATATAAGTTTCAAAATATAAGAATGTCCGCGTCAATGACCTCGATCTGTCAAAATTCGATAAAAAAGTATGGACAGCAACAAAAATTGTTTTTTAATTGGAATTTGAACCATGCTACTCAAAGCCTAGAGCTAATTTAATAAAAAAATTATATAATTCAGACGGCTTCAAGGTGTTGAGGCTACCACCCTACAATTGTGACTGATACTTTAGAGTATGTATGGCATTTAATAAAAGGTAGGGTGGCAGACAAAAATGTGCGTCAACTAAAAATAGAAATCGAAAAATTAACCCTCGAAGCCATAGAGTAAATCACAAAAGATGACTGACAGAGAGAGATCAGGTGTCTCGAAAATGAATACCGGCAACAAGAGATAACAGAAGACGATAATTTTTATTGCGCAAAGGTAATACATTTTTTTTTTCTTTCATACATATAATCAACTAATGGTATAGTTTAATGACCTACATATTGATTGTAGGGGAAAGCTGCAATGAGGATTATGACAGCGACGATCATTCGATTGCTTAAGCAGTGGGTTGAGTGGAATCGGCGAACGTGAAATTTTCGGCGAAGGTTTCAAAATAAATATTATTTTAAAAACCTATATTTTTTACTGACTACCTATATTTTTCGATTTGACACACCGTCCGTGCTACATTCTAGATTGAAACGCATTGTACATTGAACCCATGCGAATAAATAACAGTTAACCGCCTACTTTTGCCATGAAGCAATTATGAATTCCGGTATGAAGGATAGGATAAAGCGGTTTTCACAATATGTTCTTTGATTTTTTAAGATGTCGTTGAGATGGCATAGGTACACGGAGTGGTCTATGGGTCTTGTTTGTCTACCTATCAAAAACCAAAACAATAATGAAATAAACCGAGCATAAAGAGGTAATACCACAAAAGAAAATTGGTAATCTAAATTCTTGCCAGACGAATTATTATCATGAAAAAACGACCGAAAAATATATTTTACAATGACTTCGATCATGTGTTTTATTATATAAGACACTAATGGGTTTTAAACAAAATATAAAAAAAATGAAGTTTACACACATGCTTAAAATTTTTAGCACAAATACATACATACGCATTTTATTTACGTACACATATTATTGAACTTAGAGGTTTCGTTGTAATTTACCATTTTTTATCTACCTAAATAGATAAATATTTATTCGAATCATAAAATTACCCTGCATTCGCTAATAATATAATATACTAAAAATATACGATGCTATAATACACAACCCAACAAATGACGTGTCTACAACGATAATAAAAAACTATAATTTATTTATTTTCTGAATTTTGTAATAAAAGCAATTCTTTCCATGTTCCGAAACGATACAGTCGGCCACAAGACAGAACTGAACAAACAACTCAATAACAGTACTTATCGCTATACCCGGCAAAACTTTACGTAATGATATTTATGTACAAACTCACCGTTTTGACCGGCTTGCCTTCTGGGTTGAGACATGTCGTGCAAGCCATTTTTATTCACAACAAAAATTTAATCAACAATCAAATTCCGTGTTAAACCGTTGACAGTTTACGTCAAATATAATTTTTTTTTCGCTTCACAATTTCAACGCAACGAGGTTTATATCGATATTTTTAATGATTAAACACAGCAACGGCGAATAAAACTATTGGAGCCGCGATCGAAACGGCAATGGGCTTTTAGAAACCGGTTACGGGTCCCCTCCGCGGAATGGTGGTAAGGTCGTCGACGCAACGATTTATATTTTTTTGTTATCAATATCGAAGTGCACCACCCGCATGGAAAGTCACCGCCGTACTGATTTGTTTCGCGGTTTATTGCCACAGATAATAAATAACCTTATCAATTATTGCAGTCTTTTTTTAACTGTTAAAACCGAAACTTTTCGTAATTTATGGCGCGAAAATAGACAGTAAATACAAATGGAATGTTACAGAATGCTTAGAACGATTTCTATTCTGTTTAACGTAAAACCAAAGTGACTCTTCGTTTATTTGATTCTCCCCGGCTTTAAAACATTTTATAAAAGAACAATGGTATGGATTACAATGAGGCTTAGTAAATTGAAATACCCTAAATTTTATATTATATTTTTAACATTTCATATTTATTTGAACAAAAAAAATTTAAATAGCCTAATCTCTCTCAGTACTCAGTAGTGTGAGTAATGAAACAGTTAAGAATTTGTTAACGCTTATTTGCTAAGATTATACATACTGGGTTTGTTTTTTATTGTTGCAATTTTTTGTGGTAATTTTTTTTGTTATACTATTTTCAGGTCGAATTTTTATTTTTTATAATAGCATAAGGCTCACCAGATGGTAAGTGGTTACCGTCGCTCATGGACGTCAGCAATGCCTGGGGCACGGCCAAGTTGCTACTTAGTATAAATTTACTTTTTTTATTTATTGCTTAGTTGGGTGGGTGGACGGGATCACAGCCCACCTGGTGTTAAGTGGTTTACTGTAGCCCATAGACATCCACAACGTAAATGCGCCACCCACCTTGAGATATAAGTTCTAATGTCTCAAGTATAGTTACAACGGCTGCCCCACCCTTCAAACCGAATCGCATTCACGGCAGAAATAGGCAGGGTGGTGGTACCCACCCGCGCGGACTCACAAGAGGTCCTACCACCAGTAATTACGCAAATCATAATTTTACGGGTTTGATTTTTATTACACCATGTTATTCCTTCACTGTGGAAGTCAATCGTGAACATTTGTTGAGTGTGCATCGCTCAACACGAATGCACCGGACGTCTTATTCATTGGGCCACGAAGACTTAAAATGCAATACGAAACAAATACTAAACATGAACAGTGTTGATTTTCAGCTAGCCCTCCTTCCTTTCTGTGGTATTTTTAGGGGACAAATGTAAAGTTGAAGGCCTCATGCAACCATCATATATGTTCATATATACATAACGATGTCACATATCTATGATTGAAAGTGTGTATGTTTGTGCTGCGTGTGTCCAATTTGTGGAACATATTATAAGGTTAAAATAGTAAATATACCTTGAATTTTAAATACATTCAATATACTTCATATTTTTTGTACAAGCTTTTGATTTGATTTAAAAAAAAGTGTTTTGTTATTTTATTAATTAATTAATTTTTAAATGTTTTTATTCCATTCGATTGACGGACGACCCAGCTCATCAAAAAAGTTCGGCAGTTAGACAGCAGCAATAAAGCTGCCCTAAATTGTGTTTAGGCTTTGGTAATCACTGACTGCAACTACACAGTCAGTCAGTGTCTATCTACTATTTACTGTCTCATTTGAGAGTTTAACATTTGTATAATGAGGGAGCAAAAACAATTTAAGTTTATTTAGACTAACTAGTTAAGTTGGTTAAGTACTAGTTAAGTAAAAGTATGAAATGAAGATCATTTTAGTTCAACAAGTAGTTTGAATTTATTGGTGGTATAGAATCTAGTGAGCTTGCACAGAGGGGTACCACCGCTCAGTACTTGTGCTATGAACCCCAAGGCATTTCAGTTTGAAGAGTGGGGTAGTTGTCGTACTACAAAACTGAGACATAGAACTCATGTCTCAAGGTGAATGGTCGCATTTATGTTGATGGTATCTTCAGTAACCATTTAATGCCATGTGTATCATGAGCTAGTCCACCAAAAAAATAATAATTAAAGAATGTTTCATTTCCATATACCGCTGTACCTTACACTTCCTTCCAAATAGCAGTTATCTTTTTCTGCCTTAGGTTGTGCACTCAGTTTAATTGGTGCGGCGAACAACATAAAAACTGCTTAAATAGAAAATACAGTGCACTCCTTGAGTAATGAAAGGTACCCCCAACTATTCAAAAATGGTAGAAGTGAAGATAGTCATCCTTTTTTCCATGCAACAAGTGCTACTTCCTATTCTCTAAAAAAATGTTCCAATACCACAGAATCAAATAAGAATGTTATCCAGGATTGAGTTTTTACATATTTTCATTCAAGAATCAATTATAGTCTAATCTGTTAGGAACTAAACATTATTTAAAATTCACATAATTTGTTTTACCAAAGTGACCACCATTTCAGAACATTTTTTTATTTTTATTTTTAGATGGGTGGACGAGCTCACAGCTCACCTGGTGTTAAGTGGTTTACTGGAGCCCATAGACATTTACAACGTAAATGAGCCACCTTGAGATATAAGTTCTAAGGTCTCAAGTATAGTTACAACGGCAGCCCCACCCTTCAAACCGAAACGCATTACTGCTTCACGGGAGAAATAGGCAGGGTGGTGGTACCCACCCGCGCGGATTCACAAGAGGTCCTACCACCAGTAATTACGCAAATTATAATTTTGCGGGTTTCATTTTTATTACACGATGTTATTCCTTCACCGTGGAAGTCAATCGTGAACATTTGTTGAGTACGTATTTCATTAGAAAAATTGGTACCCGCCTGAGATTCGAACACCGGTGCATGGCTCAACACTAATGCATCGGATGTTTTATCCGTTAGGCCACGACAACTCCTACAAATGGACACATAACGGCACATGGTAAGTATATTTTATTTTAATTTGGTTATGTTAAAGAATTTTACACATGATTGATTAGTTGTGATATATTATCAATGTAAGTTTCAAATTAATGTGAGATGTAAAAAGATACAAAATTTATACAATTTTCAAAATTTGAACTACGTTTTTTTGCCAAAATGAATGGCACACTCATGTCACATCCTGGTGTACTGAGGGCACATCAACAATGCAAATGCCATCAACTACTTTGAGATAATATGAATTCTAAGTGTCTGTTTGAAAAGTATATGATCAAAGTTAAAACACATGACTGATTCACAGCAGAAATAGATAAAGTGGTGGCACCTACCTGTGCGGGCTCACAAGAAATAATAGCACAGTAAGGTAACAAACACCATACCAACGGTAAAAATAATGTGTAACGAGTTATATAAAAGAAAATAGTATACAAATGTTAAATACTTTTTTGTAATTAAAAGCTAAATCAACCAGAAATGGGAGATAAATAATAGTAATTTGACTATGTTATGAATTTTGTCTGCTAATATGAGATATAAGTATGAATAAAAGTATAGATGTCGTTAAGGAATTAACGAAACAAACATGAGACAGCCAATTTTTTTCATTAGTTCTAAAATTGCGTGAAAACCGAAGAAAACGTTTCTTTTTCCTACTTTCTAAAATTAAGAATATTAAAGTGTTATTAATTATCATGACACTCAATTTTAGACACTGTTTTACTGTATTCAGTATTTAATTCTAGAATAAAAATATTATTTCTTTGTAGTTAGAAATTAATTCATTTTCAAAACAATGTTAAATACCGGTTATGCAACTCACCGCTGTAACGCTAGTTGTTGAAATATTACGTTTATTTATAAGACGTAAAACGCATCTGTAGTTCTTGGATGTGTTAATTAAAGATGAAGAAAATTTGAATATGGATGTAGCCATAATTTATAATTTTTCTTCAGATAGGTAACTGAAAACTTTACCAGAAAGTGCACTTCGCAAAAGGTGTTCAAATTCGATGACAGCTAGTGACATTTTACAGCTGTCAATGTCAAATATTCTCAAGGTGCTGTCATCTAAACCCATAGACCTATAAACTTCAGTGTCTAAACCACAAACTTTTGAATTTACTCTACCATAAAATTTTGAATGAGTAAGCCGGACGCGACTAGCAAAGTTATGTGAGTGTTTATATTTTCTTAACAAATTTAAGCATGTAATAACGATGTCTTACTAACCGTTTAGCACATGTGAAAGTGCAAGGATGGGGGATAAAAAAACAGTCTCATAAATAACCACCATTTTATAATTAACACTTTATTAATACAACTAGCGGCGCGCTTCGGCTCCGCTCGGGTCTTTAACAAAAATTTGAACGACGTTGTTTTATTTAAAAAAATAAAAGAACACTTATTGCGCCAAACTATAATAGTTAGACTATAATTATAATAGTTAATGCTGTTGGAACACTTTTTGTAAATAATAATGACGTGTTCTACAAAGTCGTAGTACATTATTTAATTCTATCATCAATAGTTTTCGCGAGCACGCGATGTAAAGAATATTTTGGGTAATTTTTTTACACCTTGGGTAACATTATTGGAGTTTTAGTAAGGGTCCCTAAACTTTTTCAAAAAAGATTATAGCCTATGTCACTCGGGAATAGTGTAGCTTCCAAACTGTGAAAGAATTTTTCAAATTGGTTCAGTAGTTTCGGAGCCTATTCAATATAAACAAACAAACAAATCTTTTTTCTTTATAATATTAGTATAGATTATTTTCAATACATCTCATTTTATAGAATTTCATTCCAGTTGATTAAAGTCTCAAATAAATCAATTTTATCTCATCCCGCTCTATTATCATTATTCAAATAACTATATCTATAACTAGGTATTTAATAATAGTCTTCGATCAACAACTATTGTTCATCGAAGATAATAGTCAACTAGAGACTGGACACTAGACTGGCACTGACACTGGCAGTAATGGCTTCCCAAGAATTCCAAAAAAAAAAAAAAAATTTAGATGAAGCTCTAGAATTTTCAATAATAACAAAACAGAATGGTTAATAAAGTTTTACATACAACGCTCGTCAAAAACTCCAAAAAAGAAGAAAATCAGTTGACAAATACAAGAGAATATTATTCTTATCTGTTTTGCCACTTCCTATTTAAAAAAATATATATATAAAAAAAAGGTATAGAATAGTTTCAATTTCTTAAGTAATCGAAAAGTGCCTCAATAATTACTGCAAAAATATTGAATTTTGAAGTCACTATAAATGACTTCAAAATTCGAAACCTATTACACTTTTTTAACTCCTCAGGCAGCAAACAAAATGTGTGTTAATGAACTGCGTTCCCGAAATAGTAGTGCTTCCTTTCTGATTCGCCGTAACCGTATAATAATGTACTTCAAGCAATTTCGAATTTGAATTAATAAGTTTTAATGAGTTAATAGTTAATAAATTATTTAAGGCTAATATCGTTCTAACAGGATATAGCCAAATCGGTTATATTATAAAAGTGTTGGGACTCTTTGACAGCGCTTATTTCATTCGAACGAATTTTGGAGCTCTAAATTATATTCGATCATTGATCAAGAAAACAGTTTCTATATATATAGGTATTTAGTAAAAATTACTTTCAAAATCAAAATAGCAGAACTAGAAACTAACTCTCGTCGCTAGTACATATCTGTTGTACTTGCTTAATGTATGAATATTACCTATTACTTCGTCGTAGATTTTGTGATTTATTATTTTTCCTAAACTTATATGATAAATTAAGAGCGTTTAAGTTAGAGTAAATTTTGACGAATCATTTACAATATTACAGAAATAGCTTCAAATACTATTTATTTACAATTTTAGTACCATGTCACTATGGACGTGTTCACTAATTCTTGAACGCATGTATTGGCTTTGTACAGTGCTGCCTCTATCGGTATAATGCAGTAATGTTTCTGATCGGCTGCTTTCGGAATCACTCGTTCAGTCACGCCTAGACTCGTTCAAAAAGTGAACCTGAGACCGAGTCATTCCACGGCGGTGTGCGAAGACTGATGCTCTTATCGTGAACTATAGTGAAAACGTGATATTTTACTCATCAACGGGCTTGATATTAACTCGTTAAAGTTATTTTTATATGTAAATGTTGTGATACAAACCGTCGCTAGTGGTGTTTAGTATTTCGAATACGCTTACGGTTAAAATACAAGGATAGAGTGTTGGTGCAATAAGTGTTCTCAGTTCAACCTAGTCTGGATTTTCAAGGATTATTTTGCATAATAAAGAGATTTCCAAAAACAAGGTATGTTTCGGTACTTTCAGTGTTGTGTAGCTTTTAGTTGCTGTCTGAGAACGCGTGGCGTTTCGAATGGCTTCCGTTTATCGACTCGCGTGCGCGGTAGATAATGGCTGACTTTCTTTTTTCTTGAAGACATAATGCATAAGTATAAATATCGGAGTACTAGTCTGTAATTCATCGTGGTAGCACATTATTTTCTATAAAAAAATAACGTTTTTGTTTTTGTGTGTGGGTTGCATACATGGGCATTGTTTCTAGAATGGAAAATTAGAATTAAAAACACGAATAGTAAATAATTTTTAAGTTACTATTGTAATTTATACTTTAGGCCTTCATCCAGAAAAAAAATGATATTGAATCGTTATGCCATAGGTACCGTCTTGAAAATAATTAAAATTAGTTAAAACAATACAAATAAATAATGTATGTTTTCATTAATTGAATTATGTAATACAACAAAACAGTGCATTTGACCTACATCAATGAATTAAGATCGGAATTAATTATATGTGCGATTGATACGACGCATCCTCGATTTTCAAAATGTTCATTAAGGTTTCAATTACTGAAATATTCTAGCTTAAAATGTTAGTTTTTAAAATTATTTTTAGCATAGAATAAATTCATTAGGTATTATTTCCAAAAAATTCTTGTATAGAAAATAAGATTATGGAAACATTTTATCTTTCATAGTTTTGTAATTGCATGATTGATGTTGTGTTTTATTATTTATTTAAGGACTGGTCACACTTACTTTGATGATTATTATCTTAGTTTAATTATAGGAAGATATTATTACAACACATATCTCAAAAGACATTATCCACAGAAGAATAATTCTATTTTCTGGTTAAATTTAAAATTATAATTCAATCGGTAAGTAACAATAGAATGATGTGACTTATAGTTCCAAGCAATCCAATACATAAATATCATACAAATGAGATTATAATCTCATATTACAAGGTGAGTGGTGTGATTTTGTTGGGCTCCAGGAACAACTTAATACAAGATGGGCTGTGAGCTTGTTCACCCATCAAGTATCACTCAAATGCCAATTTTTGTATATATATTGTATTGTATGGTATATATAAAAAAAGAACATGGTTAAGATGCTGTTTCTTAATTTGAAAAATATCATCATCTTTCTCCTGCCCTTCTCCCAGTCAGAGTCTGCGCAACATGTCTTGGCTATTTAATTTGAAAAATAGTAAGCATTAAATATATAATATACAATATGGAAAGTCTTATTGAAAAGCATGTTTTCACAATTAGTCTTGTTATAAATGTATCATTATATCTGCAAAAGAGCTATGTAAGATCACAATTGCTCTCATTCACCTGCGAATAATGTAAGTTTTGGAGCTTTTATTTATTAAACTAAGTAACATGCTCTCAAAATATGCCTTAGCACTATGGGTTTAAAAAGAGAGAAAGTCGGCAAATATGTTGCCAGTGCAGTTGGATGATAGGGTACAGTTAATTGAGAGCGTTGAGTTTGTTTACCTGTATCATCTGTAAGTGACTGGATATACTAGTAAATTTTATTGAAATCTTTACATAGCCATATAAATTCATACATATTACTGAAATCTTAACAGGTTAAACTCAGTGAATGAAAATGTAAGGAGTAAATATAATTATAAGTAAATAGTTATTAAAATATGACACATTTTAACGTCCTATCCTAAAATTTCACTATGTCTCAGTAAATAATAACAATAGGTAATTGATACAAATTAAATATACTTGGATTAAAAATTGAAAACGACCATCAGTAATCTTCATATCAAAGTTTAAGCTGGTTTTGGCTGGTTTAAAGCCGGTTTGAACAAAATCTAAGAATATAAATCACTAACTAGGCAAATTGAAAATTGAATATTGAAAACAAATATTAGACAGTTAAAATAAGAATGGAGTTTTTGAATTTTGATGTTTATAGCGTGTTAAATAATTAGAATATGTAATCTACCATATTCAGAGTATCCTTCTATATGTCACCATTCTAAAGCTTATCTATTGTATTTTATCTATGTAGGGGATCTTATGTTGGTAGTAGAATGTCTTGAGTCCATATGGGTCTAAATTACCACCTTGCTTCACTTCTGCCTCAAAACAATAATTTTGGTTTGAAGGATGGGACACCTGGTTTACTATAGAATAGAGAATCCTTATGTCTCAAGATGGATTACAACACTTATGTTTTTATGTACCAGTTTTTAATAGGCTAACACATGTTCATATTTTAATTTCACCTATGGTAGAGTATATCTGTGTTGAAAATATTTATTATCAATAACAGCTTAAGGGCTAAATATACCTACAAGTGCAGCAAAGTGCAGGGGACATAATGTCATGTTTTTGAATTATGCATTTCAAATTTTAAGTAATTAGCATTAATAGAGAACTCTATGACCATACTTAGGATAAAGTTTCTTTTCCATAATTGGCCTAAGGTAGTCATATTGATACCCAAAAAACTCATAAGAGCTTGTATGTAAGTGAGTGTATGTTTTTACTTCTGATCTTTAAATTTGGTATATATGGTCTAGGCATAAAATCTTTACTTAGGATGTTTGATGTGGAGAAACTTTAAAGCTACTGTTAAAATTTTAAAAGTTTTACATCTGATCTTAAATGATGTAGTGATGATGACACTTTATGCCATCATGTACCTATATAATTTATTATAATATTACATGAAATATTTTGAATTATAATTCACTGCAAATACATTGCATTTTTCCATATGCTTATAATTTTGTCCATCAAAAAAGATGCAATAATTCAAAAGACCTCTGTTATAAACTTGTTCTGAGTTATTTGTATGTTAAATAAAATATTAGCAATGCAAACTTCCGTTCCTTTGGATTTCAATTTTAATTGTTTCAAAGTATAATAATTTTTATTTTATTGATCACCAATGAATTGTGAAGAATCTTAATATGTTTAATTAGTAAACCTGTGAACAACCTTTAAAAGTACTAATAATGTAGTGTACAAGCACTTGTGAACATAAATAAAAATATATTCGAAACATCTCCATACTGATCGTTTGTCTGGCTATCAGTTATGAAATACGCATGTGCAACTCTTTTCTACTTGAACTATTGCTACGGTTATCATCAGTTTGTAGTATATACCTCACTCTCAATTACTACTAGTACCTATCTTATAAATATATTGTTGTGAGTTATCCATTTAGAATCTAAATCTTACAGCTTGGGCGGTATTCACGTTGTCGAATCTATGTAATGCGGTAGCCGATTTATATTAGATAGCGCCATGATCAAGTTTGTCCATTGGAAAATAAAAGTCTCAACGGAAATCAAATTAATCGAAATAGGTCAGAGCACTGACACATGTAAAATTGTATTGCAGAAATCGTATCTTAAGTAGGTCAGTCAACTTGGTCCAATGAGACTTTCAATAAATAATAATCTATTATAAAATGATCGATTGACATAGTTTTCTGCTGTGTAAACTAGTGTTCACCTAACTGGTGATTCGAACTGACTTCTATTGTCATTTTTCGAGTCTCAAGATCGGTAGCGACATTCACGTTGAGCTCCGTTAACCACTTACCAACAGATGGGATTTGAGCTCGTTCATTCGTCTGAGCGATAAAAAAAAAGAAATAGAATAGTGGAGTTCCACTTTTTTTCATACCTATTCTAGTAACCTCGAGGGTCCTAGTCCTAGCAAGAGCAGTGCTTCACAGAATCTACCGCCGGATCGGAAACTCGACTTACTGAGAAGACCCGTCGAGAAACTCAGCGGGCTGTATCTGAGGGTTAAACTTCGCTTTTTTACTCTTGTTCACTATCAGTTTTTTGTAATGTCAATCTTGTAAATATAGCTATTGGATCATATATTTACCATGTGCTTTCAGTTGCAACTCTCTTGAATATACATTCGTATTGTCATTGTTTTTATCACACTGTCCTATTTTCCTAACTAGATTACTAGAATAAGCTTTTAATATACCCATCGTATACTTAAATAATCGTTTTGAGTCTCAATGAAATGTTTCACTTGCTCATTACCAAATATAATTCGTGTGAATGAAACAGCACGATAGAATAACACGTACATATGCATTCATAATAAGCCGAGTTCTAATAACACAATCATTGCTTACATCATTCAGCAAACACACATAGTACGACCGTCTTTAGGCTATGAGCACTTAAAAAAAAACTCAATAGTAAATGAATACTTTAAATACACAAAAATTTCAATATAATTCAGTGTTGGTAGAAATCAGGTTGTAACACTGTATTTAAAATCGTAAAGTAACCCAGTATCTTTGTTCCTCAAGTCGTATTTCATACCTGAGAGCTTTTCTTTTTCCTACCTAAGCAGATAGCCCTGAGAGGCTATTTCAGCGTAACCTTAGCTAGTAGGTGAGCTCTCGGGGCTCAAACCGGAGTGATGCTAACACTAACTCAGTGGGCTGTGTCTGTGGATGAATTCGCTCCTCGAGCCCTTCGTCGCAAGCGACGGGTTCGACGAGGACTGTGACCGGTGCTTGTGGTACCTAAAAGCACCGTTAATGGACCGGGAGGATCCGTAATGACGTGTTTTGGGCCTGAGAGCTGTGACCACCACTGCCTACCATGAAATTTGATAATTCTTTGTGTGACTATTATCGCTCTGCAACACGAATTGTATCTTGTCATATCAAATTATTCATTGCGCTCTGAATGTCATCAAGTTATCGTATCAATCCTGATTCTTCTTTAATTTTACATGTCTAGGCAGGCAGTTTGTGGTGTCGGTAGGCTTCTATTACCTACCGCTTTATAGCCAGACTTTGAGCTCCTTTATAGCTAAAACATTTTTTAATATACTTAAAATTTTATTTGCTCAAAAGCTAGTTAAATATTTAAACTTACTTTACAAATACGCGTTTATTTATTGACACTAGCATTACTGTTATCAAAATTCAATTCTTATCTAAATAGAAGGGAAATAATAGTTGACTGAACATATAAACTATAGTGTAATTTTATACGAACAATCCTTTTAATATCACCACTGTAATTATCTGCTGTCTGAAAAAAAAATCCGTATTGTGAATTGTGAACATTCTGTTAATTTTGGTATCAAAAGAAAATATCACTTTAGATCATTGGTAGATAGCTCGTTTAGTTTTAAGTGAAAACGCTTGTTACGCGATACTGTGTTTGTTAATATTGAATTAAATTCCTTTAAAAAAAAAAAAAAACTTGCTCGGCCTGGTGAATCAGCTACGCAGGTGGTTGGCGATTGCAGCACATTATTATAATACTGAGACCGACACTGCTCATTCTATATTGAATTAATTGGTTGCCTTTTATGACATTAACGGGAAGAGATGGAGAGTTGCTATTCTAAGTCGACCACACACAGCAGTGAAACAAAAAGGACGTAACTCCACTCTTGTGACTTTTAGCCTTGTGAGTTTGGTATTAAGACGACAGGACTACCTAAAAGAATGCCGTCCCGTGTCTCACCATTGTATAACATGTACTTATGAATATTTGTAATTTCTACGTGAACGTAATACGAAGTGAGTACGCAATAACGAAGCTCGCTCGTGAGTCACTTTAAGGTCGCGCCGCTCGCAATAGGTACAAACCTGTTCTTTGACGGTTTTGTACAGAAAATTGCGTTATCGAATATCACAGAATGATTGGTCATTGCATAAAACTTGTTCTATGTTTATAATAAAATAATAAGTAGGTCTACTGGTGGTAGGGCAAATAAGACCGCACGATTAGTTAGTTAGTTAATGTTACGTAATCGTACCACCGTCCTAATACTGCTGCGAAGTACTTGGTAATATTGGACAGCCCTAATACAATTAAGGCTTCGACCTTGTGCCTTAAATGATGAACTTAATGGCCACCATGCCCACAATGAGCTCGTACAATTATCCAGAGCCATTGTTAAAGTAGACTATTTAGGTCTAGAATAGCACCATCATATCTTTTCCCGATGGTAAAGGGCGATTAAGGGATTCACCGAAGATTGAGCAGAAAAGTTCATTAGAGTATCATACCCGCATACTGCGTTCACCAAGTGTACTGTACTGGTGGTAAGATTTGAACCCGCCAGGTCGGTATCACCAACCATCCATCCTACTTATCCTACCGCGAAGTAATCATGTAATCCGGCTTGAACGATGGCACCGTTATAAAGAACAAGGACGATTTTGACGTAGTGATTTTTATGAGTTTCGAAATCCACTTAAAATCTGGTTTTCCGTGAGCTCGTTCACCAAACAACGCAAAATATATTGAATTTTTAATCTAATTCTGTTAAACAGTTTTTCTTTATCGAATCTTGTTACTTTATGAACTTCGATTATAATGTATTAATTACTATATTGTATAGTTTTCATTTTTTTTTCCTATATTGGTATACGTGTCATTCACAAAACATACCCGATCCTGTAGACCGAATGGTAAACAGTCGACGTTATCCTAAACACGTCATTAGGAATCCTCCCCATCCATTTACGGTGCTTTTAGGTACCACAAGAACCGGTCACCGACCTCGCAGAACCCGTCGCTTGCGACGAAGGGTTCGACGAGTAAATTAACCCATAGACACAGCCCACTGAGTTTCTCGCCGAATCTTCTCCGTGGGTCGCGTTTCCGATCCTGTAGTAGATTCTGCGAAGCACTGCTCCTGCTAAGGCCAGTGTTAGCAACATTTCCGGTTTGAGCCCCGTGAGCTCACCTACACACGTTAGGGTAAAGCTGAAATAGCCCCTCAAGGCTATCAGCATAGGTAGTAAAAAGAAGAAAAGAATTGACAAAAAACAAACGATTTAAAATATCTTTAGAGCTCATACTATCTATTAAAGCGTTGTAAGTACATTAAAAAATCTTAAAATAACTCCATTGAAACAGTTTCGCATGTAATTCAAGAGCGGTTCTTACTTTGTTCCAGGTCTCGCTTCGTTGTCGCCGCACTATGAGAGTGCGCTTCCTATGCTTATGATCTCAATTTAGAAAAGGAATTTCACGCGATAAGCCCGCTGTGTCTCCAACAATGGAATTCCCGTGAGTACCACTACTAAACGATATTTAAATATTGATGTTTTTTAGTTTCTCCGTCATTTCTTTTCATTTCGTTTTTTATCGTTGCGCTACCACGTTCACTCCCTCGTTGCGAACAGCATGCCAAATTATTGTTTTAGTTATATTTATTATGTATCCCCTTTGATGGTGCTGAGGCTTTCGTCGGCGTGTGACTTACATCAGTGCACTGACAGCGTCGGTTCGCCCGTGACCATACCTTGGTACCGATCTATTTTTTACCGTCATCGTGTTTAATTCTCGATCGATATTCGCGTTTCGATACACGGTATTGAATAATAGTTAATTATCATACGTAAGTTTGTATACTAAAACGTTTAACCGAATTAAATCTACACAACGCAATGACTTTTCGTTAACGTTTTTCAAATTTAAAAGTACGAAATATAAATCATTATGTAAATTAATTTGGAATAGGTCAACGTTTATTGTTTACAGCGTTTCACTAGAAACATTTTAAATTCTGCATAAAAGTAGGCAGAATATTTCATAATAAAATGAAAATGTATTTGTGCTACAAGGTCACCTCTTGAATGTCAATCAAACAGAAGAGGTCTGCAAGAAAAGATTAATAACAAGTGATAAATATGTAGTCGAAAATAGGTTGGTACCGATATCGTTATCAGATGGGTCACCGCGAGATCAAGTCATAACTCGCGATTTCCCTTCAATCGCACTGAACCTCTCCGAGCCGATGAACGCGTACGTGCGCTTCGCCGTTATCAATTAGTTTATGTAAAGCACAGTCGCGCTAGGTTCTCGTCTGCGAATCGTCTCCAGGCTTCACCGGACGGTCCATATGAGAATATACAGGCGAAGAGCGGCGGTGGAGCGGTGCGGTGCGATGGGAAGTGGGTGGCGACGGCGCGCAGGCTCTGAGTGCGTGTGTCGCGTTGCAGATGCTCGGAGCGGGCGGGTGGCATCGGTGACGGGCGGCGGTGCGTGCGGTAGAGTGCCGGCCACATGCGCTCGCGCCGTCATGTGGCGCGTGCTGCTGGCGTTAGCGGCCGCGTGCGTCGCCGCGCGCGCCTCCCAGGACGTCGTGCGGACCTACAGCGATCCGGTCTCCGCACCGGGATCCCAGTTCAACCACCTCGTCGTGGATCGCAATACGGGCCGTGTCTACATCGGCGCTGTTAACAGAATCTATCNGTGCGGTAGAGTGCCGGCCACATGCGCTCGCGCCGTCATGTGGCGCGTGCTGCTGGCGTTAGCGGCCGCGTGCGTCGCCGCGCGCGCCTCCCAGGACGTCGTGCGGACCTACAGCGATCCGGTCTCCGCACCGGGATCCCAGTTCAACCACCTCGTCGTGGATCGCAATACGGGCCGTGTCTACATCGGCGCTGTTAACAGAATCTATCAATTGTCGCCTGATTTGGAAGTAGCCCAATCGATTATTACAGGCCCCGTCAACGATTCCGCTCTCTGCACTTTTGACTGTCCAGCCAACTATGTCAAGAAGCCGACGGATAATGTTAATAAGGCGCTGGTGATCGATTACGCGACAAGCCGACTCATAACGTGCGGCTCCGTGCTTCAAGGGCTATGTTCCGTGCGAAACCTTAATAATATTTCTCATGATGTTCGTGAAGTTCGTGAACCGGTGGTGGCAAACAATGCTACAGCGTCGACGGTTGCGTTTATTGCGCCTGGTCCTCCAAACCCGCCTATGACACAAGTTATGTACGTAGGTGTTACGTTTACGGGAAATTCGCCATATCGTTCAGAAGTTCCTACTGTCAGCAGCCGTTCCCTGGAAGATGACCGCCTGTTTGGAATTGCACGCACCGCAGTCACGACTGGTACGAGGATGTTCATCAATTCATTATCACGGGAGCGATATCTTATAAATTACGTCTACGGCTTTAGCTCCGAGGGATTCAGTTATTTTCTTACAACACAACTGAGAGGTGTAGGATCAGATACATACTACAGCAAATTGGTTCGTGTATGTCATGATGACGAAAACTACTATTCATATACTGAAATTCCAATGTCTTGTACCGGAGAGGGAGGAGGTAATTTTGGATACAATCTAGTACAGGCTGCTTTTGTTGGAAAGGCCGGCTCCGTCCTCGCAGGTGAATTAGGAATAACGGCACAGCACGATGTACTCTTTGCTGCCTTCAGTCAAAGTGAGTCAATAAACGCGAATACTCCATCAGATCTGTCAGCCCTTTGTGTGTACTCTCTGAAAGCGATTCGGCGTAAATTCATGCAGAATATAAAGACATGCTTCAGCGGAAATGGATCTCGGGGTCTTGATTTTATATCGCCCTCGCATACTTGTATCGGAACAAAATTACAATCAATCAGTGAAGATTTTTGTGGCTTAGACGTAAATACTCCACTCGGGGGTGAACAACCAGTGGAAGCGGTCCCGGTAGCTGTATTTAAGAAAAGACTTACTGCAGTAGCCGCAACTGCCACTGGCGATTATACTGTAGTGTTTGCGGGAACGGCGAAAGGACATCTCAAAAAGATTGTGGTCGAAAGTGCAACTTCTGCATTTGAATACGGGGATATCGTTGTTGACGAAGATTCACCAGTGAATAAAGACTTATTCTTCGATACTCAGTTAATGCATTTGTATGTGATGACAGAACGAAAAGTGTCTAAAGTGAAAGTGCAAGAGTGCAGCGTTTACAAATCCTGTTTGACGTGTCTCGGAGCCAAAGACCCGTACTGTGGATGGTGTTCTTTAGAAAACAAATGCAGTCTGCGTTCAGATTGTCAGGAGGCAGCTAAAGATCCTTTGTATTGGATCCCTTACCGCAGCGGGCGTTGTACAACCATCACCCAAGTGACACCTAATCAATTGCAACGAACGACAGCAAGAACACTAGATTTACTCATCGAAAACTTGCCTACACTCAATGGACAATTTTTATGTGCATTTACAGCCTTAGATCGTACTCTTATAACGAATGCTACCAGAAAAACTTACGGTGTTAATTGTACAACTCCGCGTACCGATACGCTCCCACCGATACCGGCTGGTCAACATCACTTCACTGCTAAGTTATCGGTGCGCACTACTCAGGGACCTGACTTTGTAGCGACCAATTTTACTTTCTTTGATTGTAATACGTACAGCTCGTGCACACAATGCGTCAGTTCCTCGTTCCCTTGCGACTGGTGTGTCGACGGTCACCGCTGCACCCACGATACCGCTGAAAATTGCCGTAATGATATTTTAGTAACGGGAGTTAGTAGAATAGGCCCAAGTTATCGTTCTGGTCCAAGCTTTTGTCCAACAATAAATTCAACGTCCGACGGTACCAACGAAATATTAGTACCTTCCGGTGTTAAAAAACAAATCAAAGTTAAAGTCCACATAATAGGCCAATTTATCGTTCAAACTAGATTCGTTTGTCAATTCAATATTGAGGGTAGAGTCACTCACGTGAACGCTCAACTTTTAGCAGATACCATATATTGTGAATCCGTTGAATTTACTTATACTTCCCGAGCTCCTAATATTACTGCTTCGTTTGCTGTAATATGGGGTGGGTCGAAACCTCTTGATAATCCGGATAATACTCATATTCTCATCTACCGTTGTAACGATATGGCTGATAATTGCGGCATGTGTCTCGCCCTCCCTGAGAAGTTTGGTTGTGGTTGGTGTCAAGGGTCCGACAGGTGCGAAGTACAAGAACAGTGCGGAGCACCTAGTGTTTGGTTAAATCGAACACAAACTTGCCCTAATCCTGAAATTCATTCATTCAGACCACAGCTTGGCCCATGGGATGGTGGAACAAACATAACCATCGAAGGTATAAACCTGGGTCGGAATATATCTGACATATATAACGGGGTAACTATTGCCGGAATAAAATGTCAGCCTATCATAGAATTATACATAAAAACAAAACAAATCGTTTGTACTGTAGACGGTCCCGGAGAAGAGGTTCCCCGTGATGGGCCGGTAGTTGTTCGTGTTGCTGATTATCGCGATGAATCTAAACAACACTACGCGTTCGTTAACCCTAAAATTAATTCTATCGAACCAATCTACGGGCCACAATCGGGCGGTACGAAGTTACGTATCACGGGTGAATATCTAAACGCCGGCAGCAATATACAAGCTTATATCGATGATTTGCCTTGTGCTATTTTATCAGTATCGCACGAGGAAGCTGTGTGTAGGACAAGCCATTCGTATCAACTCAAAATGGGCACACTGCGAATGCGTTTCGATAACGGGATGCGAACTCTAGAACGACAAAAGTTTGAATATATAGAGGATCCTGTTGTAGTGTCCGTTGAATCCGGTCCACCATTATTATCGCAACGCAAACAACCCAAAGGCATTCCGTCCGGCGGGATAAGCATCAAAGTGATGGGCAGAAACTTCCATTCAATTCTATTGCCCCAGATCTATGTATATCACGATAACAGACCTTACATTGCTCCTTGCTATAGGGCAGATTTTCAAACTGTTCTGATTTGTGAATCACCCGGTATTGAAAGTGCCGGTCTCAATCTAGATCCTGATAGACCTTTGGCATTAGAATACGGTTTCAATATGGACGACGTACAAAGTGTACAGAACCTCACAACTAAGACTGGTGACGCGTTCCTTTTATATCCTGATCCCATTTATGAGAAATTCGGCGAAGATTTAAAGTATTACAAGTCTGATTATTTAACTATTAACGGTCAAAATCTGGATAGGGCGTGCACTGAGGCTGATGTAGAAGTTCGAATCGGAGACAGCATTTGCAACGTAACATCGTTGTCACGGCATCAACTGACTTGTCGTCCCCCTTCGCGGGAAGATCTTCCTGACGGTGTTGACACTCTTGAAGTAGTAGTTAAAGTAGGACGTGCGCTCACCTACAAGATTGGTAAATTGTCGTATTCCTCGCAGACTGGTTTGCAAGCCGCTATAGGCAAACCAGCACTGATAGGGGTCGGCATCAGTATAGGTATTCTCTTATTTATAGTTGTGGGATTCTTAGTTATGTATAGGCGAAAGTCAACAGAAAATATTAGGGTATTAAAGAGTATGCAGGAACAGATGGATATTTTAGAGTTAAGAGTAGCAGCAGAATGTAAGGAAGCGTTTGCGGAGTTGCAAACCGAAATGACGGATTTGACTGGTGATGTCACGGGCGGTATTCCTTTCCTAGATTATCGCACGTATGCCATGAAAATTTTGTTCCCTAACATTGACGACCATGCCGTCCTGCAGTGGGAACGTCCCGAGCTTATTAGAAAAGACAAGGGTCTTAGATTGTTTGGACAGCTTATTATGAATAAAACATTCCTTTTATTATTTATTCGTACTTTAGAAAGCAATAGATATTTTTCGATGCGTGATCGTGTGAATGTAGCTTCATTGATTATGGTAACGCTCCAAAGTAAAATGGAGTACTGCACTGATGTATTGAAGACATTATTAGCTGATTTAATAGAGAAGTGCATGGAAGGTAAAAATCATCCTAAATTACTGCTCAGACGTACCGAAAGTGTAGCGGAAAAGATGTTGAGCGCTTGGTTCACTTTTCTGCTTTACAAATTTCTCCGCGAATGCGCCGGGGAACCTCTGTATCTGTTATTTAGGTCGATGAAAGGACAGGTAGATAAAGGCCCCGTCGATGCCATTACCTCTGAAGCCCGTTATTCACTTAGCGAAGAAAAACTTATCCGCCAATCAATAGACTTTAAAGCAATGACCGTAAACGTGTCGATTTCGCAACAAACTTTGTTTGTGAGCGGCTTAGAGGCTACCACTGAAAACGTACAAGTTAAAGTTTTAGACTGTGATACGATAAGTCAAGTTAAAGAGAAATGTTTGGATGCTATATATCGCTCAACTCCGTATTCCCAACGTCCTAGTCGAGATGAACTTGACTTAGAATGGCGCACGGGGGCTTGTGGTAGGTTGATTCTTTACGACGAAGATAGCACTACGAAGTGCGAAGGAGAATGGCGTAAACTCAATACCCTGAATCATTACCGCGTCCCGGATGGCGCTTGCCTTAGTCTTGTTGCAAAACAGAGTTCGGTTTATAATTTGTCTAATATGGAGAAAAATGACAAGTCTCATACTTACGAAACTTTAAATCGAGGCAAATACGGATCCGCTAGTCCCCCTGCAAGCCCGCTGAAATACGATCACGGTGGCGGCTTTAAATACTGGCATCTCGTGAGACATCACGACGATGACGCACGCAAGGAGGGTGAGCGTGGCAATAAAATGGTCTCTGAGATTTATCTCACACGTCTTCTCGCCACGAAAGGCACTCTGCAGAAATTTGTCGATGATTTATTTGAGACCATTTTCAGTACAGCTCATCGCGGTTCGGCGTTGCCTCTGGCCATAAAGTATATGTTCGATTTCCTCGATGATCAGGCATTACAGCACGCAATATCCGACCCCGAAGTTGTGCATACTTGGAAAAGCAATTCCCTTCCTCTTCGCTTCTGGGTGAACCTGATAAAAAATCCTAATTTCGTGTTCGATGTTCATAAGTCAAATACTGTAGATTCTTGCTTATCTGTAATCGCGCAAACTTTCATGGACTCTTGTTCGACCTCCGATCACATTTTAGGCAAAGACTCGCCTTCGTCCAAGCTTCTTTACGCTAAAGACATTCCCGTGTACAAGGAGTGGGTGGAGCGTTACTATGCGGACATTAAGTTGATGCCGGCAATATCAGATCAGGACATGAACGCGATGTTTGCGGAGGAGTCTCGCCTCCACACGAAAGAGTTCAACACGAACTGTGCGCTGAACGAGCTGTACGCGTACGCGGACAGGTACAACGAACAGTTGACGGTAACGCTCGAGGAGGACGAGTTCTCGCAGAAGCAGCGGCTCGCATACCGCCTCGAGCAGGTGCACAGCCTCATGGCTCATGATTACAACGTGTGATCGCCTCGCCTGACGCTGTGATGCCGACCCCACCGCCCTGTATATAACGCTCACGCACATATCTATGCTGGCATTTATTGTATATATTAGATAGTGTACAGTCTTTAATATTGTAATTTTTGTATAATTTCAGCGGTCAGATCGTTTTTTAATTTTATATAAATGAACTTTGTATTGATTTTACACGACGAGCTCGGCCGGCTACGGTCGTGCCGGATGTATTCATCGTAAAGTAATAAATGAAATAAATTGTGTATGTCTGTCTTATGTGTGCTCGCGTCGTACGAGTTAATGTTACGTCGATCGGTGTATAATGTGTGTCGCAAAGAATTCGCATGTAAGCTCGCCGGCGAGCGACGGCTTCGCTCGCCAACGGGCGATTTTTAAATTTGTACTCGCAGTCTTATTAACGAAATAACCGACAGTGAACCCGTGAACGATTCCATTAATAAATATCGTCGAATGTATGTAAGCGTTGTTTTATTTAATTTGCAATGGGCGCAGCGCGATCGTCCGCGCACGACGAAAGCCCCCGCGTCTCGGCAGCTGTCGGCAGGGAGAACGCGGTACGGTGCCATGTCTGCTCGCCTCGCACTCGGGACCGTGCATCCAGCACCTAACATGTCATATCACCACTCATGTTTGTCGTACGTTACGTGGCGAGGCGAGGGCGACGTGCGAGACGTCATGGATGAACCGAAGCGGCCCTGCTTTTTCAGCCGGTACGTGCGGATCGTGGCGCGGACGACATTCGCGGTCGTCAACAACTTATACTGCATCCCCGCGTACGTGCTGTGGATGATGGCGCTGCGCCTTCTCAAACCCTTGTTCGCCCCCATCTATTGGAAGATCGAAGGCCTCATGTACCACTGGCTGCTGGCGATGGTCTCCTTGTGGTCTTGGACGGCTGGATATGAGAGTAAGTACTTCTATATTCATGCTAAAATAATTATTGGAGAGTACATTAAACACTAAAACCTTTAAAGTGGAACAATAAAAATAAACAACTTGGAAACTTACAATTTCGCCCACGCGCTGTGTCTTGGGAATATCATAATTAGCGTGTGTCGTAATATTCCGATTGCGTTTAAGATAGTTATGAAGCGCGAACAACTTTTACCATTGTTCTTCAAAAAGTTATCGTGTAGGAAGCGTACTTAGTCTTTTGCATAATAATTCTAAAATGGAGCATATATCAAACTTTGATCTCGTTTATTCTAAATAAGAATTGTATGATTTTTTTAGCCAGGAGTTTTGTAGATTATAAAAAAATGATTGACTAAAACTAGAATAGGTCAAGAATCCTGCACTTACCATAGAACTGTTTAGTGTGGATCGCAATTTGAAACCCATGCGTTTTTGTTCCGCACATACTGTAAAATAAATGTTCGCTTTTAAGGTATTTTCATTGGAATCTGTTGAAGCCAAGATTCGAATAGCCTTAGGGATTTAATTTTAAAACGGTACAGGTTAGAATAGCCTAGTTAAACTAGGAAAATTTATTATTAGCTGCATGTGGAGTTAACTTTATTTTGTAGAAATTTAAGTCACAAAAATTATGAATAGAATTACGATGGAGTACGGTAAGCACACAAGGGAACGGTAAGTTATGTAATTGAACTTTATACTGACATTAAAAGTCTGGTCAAAATGTCAAATGCTTTCGTCGTTTGTCATGTAGGACGAGTGAGCAAAACAAAACCAGTTCTTCTTGTGAAACTTTTAAGAAATTCTTGAAAGAGAACACTTAATACTATTATAAAAGGTTAAGCTCATCTGGAAACTAAAGTGGTGTAAAATGGTCTATGCTAAATCACATTTCAAGCGAATAAGCCGATATGATTAATTAATTTGTCAACTAGACAGCAAAATCGTGAAATGTTTTACTTATTCAACTTGAAAGCAATAGGTTCTCAATCCTTCTTTCAATAATGCTTTGGCGGTAGTCAAATTATGATAAAAAATAGCTTCCGGTAACCAAATTTTGTCAACAGGAGATTACTACGACCTTGGTCGCGAAGTAGGGAAATTAAAACTTAGTAGCTGTTACTACACCACTGTAGTGTATTGTGTAGTGAATTTGAAGTCATTATCTGCTAAAGCCAATCATCATATCAATGCAACAGCTTAGTTGTACATTGGTTACATTTGATTAATTTCTGTTGAACGTAAAATTATCGTTGCCATGTCTGTTTTTTATCTATACCTATTATCTTTATCCAGAAGTCTGATTAGTAGGTCTTTTTTATTAATTATAAAATCATGAATTTAAAATAAGCGCTTACTTAGTTTTTTCTTAAGTTTAGTTGGTTGCCTTCATAGGCAGACGCGAGGCATGTCTTCAGCAATGGCAGAGGCATAGTCAAGCCGCTGCTTACCAAGGATTCAAATAGTTTGAAGAAGGACATGTCATAATGCTCAAGAAATATCGCGGAGAGAAATTTGTTCTAAGGTCGAAATGTGCGAAGAAAAAAGTATAACTGCAAATGCTGTGCAAGCAATATACGCAATATAGAGCAATCTTTTGTATTTATTTCGTTTTATTGTCGTCATCTGCTATATTGGATATTTAGATATTGAAACTAATTGGTAAGGTAGTTGTTTTGCTGCCTATAAATCTTGTCGACTGATTTGAACACTTGTGAAAACAAAATTGATTGCGTCCACTGTTTTGGCCAGATAATATCTCATTGCCCAATCTCAAATTAGATTTCTTATGTATTCGTAATTGATTTCGGGTTTGCTTGCGAACAATGGCCGCTTTCGAAATATAACTCGTCGCTGTAATGAAAGACCGGTCCTAAATTTCTTTAGGAAACTCGAAATTTATGGATTGTTAAAATTTTAGAACGGCACTGAGGACGAATGTGTAATTTTTTTAAACCTTTATTTCAATTGACTTTCTCGTTCGATGAACCGGATTCATGAAAATATGTTTCTGAATGTTTGTACATTAATGAAATTCCAAAATATATCTGATGTAACGAAGTCTCGCCAATTAACGCCAATAAAGTCATACTTTTCGAATAAGTCGGCAACAGCAATGGCAATAAGGAGCGAGAACTGCAACATGTGGTCAAGCTGTATTGACCTTATGCGGCTGCGTAGTTTGTGCGGCCGGTTGAGGACGGTCGATGACCTCCCTCCCACCGCAGGCCATTCGCTAGGAATGCTGCCCCCCACCTACGGGCCGCCACTCGTCATGTCATGTTGCAACCAGTCGCGGATTTGCATGTTGTTGCCACTAAAAGTCGATACGTTGCGGTCCACGAGTCGCACGTGGTGAGACCTATTTAGTGACGTTATTTCGGTAATTTCGATTATACTTAGATAAGAAATCCTACTTCAGGTTCAGATAGTACTATCGATAGCCGATAATATTCAACATTTGCAAGATGATGATTTAGGTACACATGAGGTTTCTCTAATAGGAGCAAGCGGAAATACTGACAAAGAATATTATTGACTAGTTTATTACCCTAGTGCAAAGGTTATTAGTTTGGTAATACAATAAGCGTGTGCCGCATCGTAATGATGCTTATTTTTAATTTCTCGATTGAGATTTATGAGTACTTGAAATAATAGGTCGTCATCCTTATGGATGACTGTTAGCTACCAAAACAAAACTAAACACTAGTCTTTATTTTGGGTGAACGTAGATGGAAACAGTCACGATTTCTGATTTAATAAGTGAAGTATGTCTGTCTATACAATAGCAGATCTAGATTTGTCGACGACTGATCGTGCGTCTCAAAATAAGAGATTCAGTAATTCGTTGGTCCGTTATGTTCGAAAAGTGTGTCGCATTTCCGACTGTAATGATTTTTTATTGGACAAAACTGTTTTTGTGTTACGTGAGTAAAAGTTAGCTATCCGACGAAGTATGATTACGACCCACAAAAANAGTATGTCTGTCTATACAATAGCAGATCTAGATTTGTCGACGACTGATCGTGCGTCTCAAAATAAGAGATTCAGTAATTCGTTGGTCCGTTATGTTCGAAAAGTGTGTCGCATTTCCGACTGTAATGATTTTTTATTGGACAAAACTGTTTTTGTGTTACGTGAGTAAAAGTTAGCTATCCGACGAAGTATGATTACGACCCACAAAAATTATCTTTTAACTGAATGTCAATCAAGAGAGAATTTGATTAAGAAATGCGGATACAGTAAATCACCAAATGATTTATAGGAGGGATTGGTAATTAATATGTTCTTTCAGCAGTCTTGCAATCAAGTTTGAAAGTCGAAATAAGGCTAAATTCTTCTCACGTTGTTTTAAATTGGAATTGCTAAGAACTGCATGTGTTTTGACGGCATTATGGTGGCACCACTTAAAATGTCATTGTCCTACATTTATAACTCACTGCTAGTTTATCGCTGTTGCTAAATAAAGCAGTTTATATCTTGGCGTCTTTTTTTTTCTTCTTAATTTCGTTGTTAACACGACAACGTATGTCTTTAAATAGTTTATTTAGTATTAAGATACATTTCAAACGCCGACATTATTCTGATGTGTAGACAAAACATAGAGCCACGTCATAAATTATGCCTGAGCGCTATTCAAATTCCATTCACACAGCACTTGGAGACGTATTAACATAGAAAGAAAATATTATAACGTACACCCACATGGTAATAATTATTGATCGTGAATGCGCGGTGGTTATAAATTCCTTTAGGTACATCCTTCGATTGTGAACGCCGAATTGAGCCCTTCCTGTAATAAAGTAAGCATGATAGATGTAACAATTTTAAATATCTGATCGCTTGCCTTAACTATCAGGGTCCTATTGGTGGCGTCTTTTTTCTTTCCTTTATTGGCAGACGAGCGTACGGCCACCTGATGGTAAGTAGTTATCATCACACATGAACATCAGCGATATCAGAGGACCAACAAAGCCACTGCCTACTCCTGAGGACTCTCCGAAATCCTCGTTTAAAGAAGGACATGGCATAGTCATAGCACCCGAGAAACACTTTGGAGGGGAGCTCATTTTTTATTGCTTAGATAGATGGACAAGTTCCGGTTTTAAGTGGTCATCAGAGCTCATTTATATCATCAACAACGTAAATTCCATCATCCAACTTGAGGAATGAGTTCTGTGGCTCAGTTTTTATAGTAGAACGGCGCATTACCCTTCAAACTAAAGCCGGATGAAGTGTGGCAGTAAAGATCCCTGGAAACGCACTGTGGATGAACGCAGCGGCTCGTGATAGTATGGACACGGGGATAAAGGGGTCATCTCGAATAATTCCTCCGGGCACTCCCCACTGTGCTTTAAGTTATCTTACATATACCTAAATAAAAACGAATGTTGACTTACTATTAAATTATCATTTACCGTACTCTTAATAATTACAGTCTAAAAATTTTAAAATTATTGTGTACTTATTTAAAATAATTATTAAATACCGGGTCGCGGCCAACAACGTTCATCATCAAAATTACATAGCACTTTTATTA